TGAGTGGGGCTGATGCGCGCAGCTGCGGGTTCACAAGCCTCCACTGCCTCCGGCCGGGGCCGGCAGGGACGCAAACCCCAACCCCACCCGCACGACACGTAGGTGATTTGGGATAGACTATTGTAGGTACGCGCTATTTCGATTCAGACATGTAAGGGGGCAGACGATGATATATCGCGGATCGCAGCAGCTGTTTCACCTCACTGGCAAAATATTTCCGAATTGGTTAATACGCATAAATAATAATATTTTAATAATATATTTTATGCACAGTGACATCCCTTTGATCTACTCTTATCATTTTTCTAGAAGAATTATTATTTTCTATTATTTTATACAATCCTTTAAAAATGTCTGTATTATTATTCCCTCCATTATTTTGTAAGATAATTAAAGATCATGTGCTATAATAAAGGATAATTGTCAAAATTATACAAAAGTTCAATGTTCGTTGTCACATTTGTTGGTAAAACACATGTTATAGCAAAAACGAGTTCGAATAGCGCTTATAAATATTTCTTGAATTTTCATAATTTTAAAATTGCGTTTTTTACTGCACCTACCAGTGTTTTTAAATTTCTATCAAAAAATTATTTCTTCGTTACTTGTACAAAAGGTGTATAGAAATTATTTTTAACATATCTACGAGATTTTTTTATTATTGAAGATTTTAAAGTCAATCAGTGGCAAAATTGTAGAATATGGTTTGAAACAATTTTTGTAATGAAGAAGTATTTGATAACATGATAACTGTATTTGTCCTTGGAAGGAAAGATTTCTTATTATCTTCATTTTAAAAAAATAATACTCCTACATAATTTTCAATCGAATTTTTGCGCTTTCCGTTAGGCTAGCTTTAAGTAACGAATAGTATAGTTCAATTGAATTAATTAACTGTTTGGTGATACTTTTGTTACCTGTCGATTCTGCAATTCATTTTCTGTCGGTGGCACGTGCATCGGTCAGTAAATTAAAGAAATCATCGTCGCTCCGCCGCCGGTTCTGTTTGCTCGAAGACATCATTCCCATTACGTCGGTTTTCAATGTCAATATTTTTATTTATTAATAGCGATCGCGGCATCGCTCAATTTTGTATCCGTATTAATTCCGGGAGCGCCGTAAGCTCGTCGTCACATGTCTGCACAATAGCCTCGTTCCCACACTATCATTCTGATGGCCTATTTATTCGGAACCGCTGATCTTTTGCTCCCTTTAAAATGCTGAATCAATAGATTAAATTACGAGCGAACTGAATCCCGTTTGAATCAGAGCGCCGAGCGCGAAAAGTGATTAAGATTTTAAAGATCTCTTTCAAAGCCCGTATCATTTTAACACTCGAAGTTAAACAGTATTTTTTAGTCGCTTTTACATTTTTAAAAGAGCTAAAGGGATTTATTCTTTTATTAGCTCAAGCTTTTGTACTTATCAAGTTCCAGACAATCGTGATGTCGTTTTAATTTTTATGCTTTATAGTACATCTTTTGCAGGAAAGGGGATTTGCTGGATAAAAGAATTCACTCGCTGAAACTTATTCGATATTTGCCGCGTAATCCGAAGTAAAAAGGCGCCGCGGATTTCTTCTACACCCAACTACTCGCAAATCGGACAACGCGGGTCTCGAACGCACACAGAAAAGGCTAATTATTTCATTTCATTGAATTTAGTAACACGAAACGTAAGAATTGTTTCTGGTACGAGCTCATTGATAATCACAATGAATAGAAAAGGTCCGAGACTGGGCGCCCTGTAGAACGCCGCACCTACTCAGACTAGGCTTAGAACACATTCCAATTACTTAAATTTAAAAAGGAAACTGACAAAAAGTAATCCTGCTATTCCTCCAAATCCTTGATTACTCCGGTGTCCTTTTCTCCGCCAGGACAATAAAGATATTGGCAATAGGCGTGAGAGAGTCCCGGAAGGACAATGGCATTCACCACCACACCCAGGAATCTTGGAGTGGACCTGCGGTGGAACCTGCGCCTGTGCGGTGGGTTCGTTTTGACCCTCGCTCGACTGACCTGACAGAATGACATGACACTATCGGATGATGGGATTACGGCGGCTTAGCCGTGCACGGCCCTACACCGACATGTCGCGTTCACATGACACATTCGCGTATCAGAAAACCTCATTGCTTCACTCTTAAATCTCCGGTTTGACGATCTTTCATCGCCGTAAACAAGGACGTTCGATTAAAAAAAAAACAGACCCATTTTGCTTTAAAGTAAATATTTTTGTATGGTTTTTAATCGATATGGAGTAAGAACAACCATAAAGTTTTACATTTTTGTTTCGTTGGTCATCTCTCAAATTTCTTCAAGTCCGAGTGTTTACAAGATGCATCAGTGTCGTCGGGATAAATCACCTATCTAGCGTTAGTACTTAACGGCAGATCATTAATACATATCAAGAAAAATAAGGGAGTCAAAGTTAATCTCAGCGATATCCCAGATAAGACAGGTTGCTTCGAGGGTATAGCGTGATGCGTTTCGATAATTTAAAACCTGTTGGGTAAATGGAGTTGTCCTAAAGTAATGGTGTTCAATTCATGTTTTCTATGCTACTTTTTTCGGACAATATTTTTATAATAACAATAATATGCTTTATTATGCTTAAATTTACAAATAAATTTGCACTCGTCTAATAAATTTTTAGTTTTTAATTCCTAAAAGTAAATTGGGGAACTGTTGTAATAAAGTCCAGTTTTTTTGACATTGATAGTTCCTAGAATATGAAAGGGTAGGTCTCCCGTTTTCGTCTGTCTGTCGTCTGGCTTTTGTCGTATGTTGACGATTTATTGACGAATAAAATAGTCTATTAACTGATTGGTGTAAAATTTTAGAAATATTTTGCGAATATTATTTAGACGGAAAAATGATGATTTTGTGGCTCCATCATCGCTTTTTGTGTCACCTTTTTTTGATGTGTTCATTGGTGCCCTTTTTAGAGCCTTTTTCACTTTTTCCTTCCCGAGCGCTTTTTTTGTGATTTTTTGTTGTTTCTTTTGTCGCCTTTGAAAAAACAGTAAATCTTATTTAACACGTGTAAAATAATATGCTTCTATAACTCTAGTTTATTAATCGTCCCCTATTTTAGACATTATAAAGTTTTTGGAAAAAATACCAAAATTATCTATGAAACAAAATTTGCAATTTAATTTAGAAAGCACAAACCAGATTACTCTGAGATTTTTAATACACTTTAACATTATTGTGAATACTGAATACTCTTGCACAAAACTAATGACGTCATATGAAAATTTCGTTTCATAAATTCTGTCCAAAATTTGTAAAATATTGCCCTTACACTGATAGCTTATTAATGTAGCTATATTTTTGGCTCTACATATGATAATTTTTGAAAAAAAGAGAACGGTCTCAAATATAAATAAAAATTGCGAACTGATTTACTGTTACCAATAGAACTTTACTACCTTCTACCATTTACTCCACTCCCCCTTATCCACAAAAAACGCAAAACAATTTTCGTCTTTTAACTAACTTTTTAAAACTGATGTATTCATTTTTACTAGGGATGTACCGACTAGTGGCCGACCGGTCGGATAAGCCGACTATTCGGCCGTTTTTCATCGTCGGCTGCAGTCGGCGACTGGTCGGCTAAACAGCCGATCGGTCGACTTTTTTTATTAAAATTAAAATAATATACAAAACAATTAAACCTGGTTTACAGAACCTCAATTAAATATTTAATTGCGATTTAATTTTTAACCCCGCGTTGAAGTACCATGTGACCGACTCTACGCCAATCAGACGTCGCTAATGGTCTTGTTAAATGCGCGATCAACTTAATCTCAGTTAAAATATTGTATAAACTGGCCCTAAATTGTGTTATTCTTTAATTTTGTACTGAGTTACTAAAAAAAAATTAAATGTTAAAATTATCCAAACAAATTTAACACATTTTTTGGAAAACAAAGGAACTTTAGTTATTCCTTTTATTAAAATACTTAAAACAAATTTTTAAGGTAGTCAGAGAAATAGAAAAAAGAAACACATTGTCTGTCGCATTTATAAACCGGTTTTAGCAAAGCCGAACAGTCGGCCGACTAGTCGGTTTTTACTGGCCGAACAATCGGCTAGTCGGTTAGTCGGCCAGACCAACAATCGGTACATTTCTAATTTTTACCATTAGCCTTCATTTATATGTACTTAGTTTTAAAATATTAATTTCACAGCGAAATAATATTGTTTAATTCTCGGCTACGCCTCGCAGAGTAAATTTAATTTGTATGGTTGAAAAATACTGTTTTCTTTTCATTTTTGCCAGTAATGGTGCAGTAGTAATTTTTAGCGCAAGGCGCAGCCGAGTGTATGAATTGATTATTGAAAAAAAAATCTCTAAAACCCCATTCGTGTTCGATGACTTTTTCATCGATATGTTCCTCTATTTTACGAAAGCAAATTTTACAGTTTGTCTTAAAATTTAAGAAATGAATTTTTACTTTGGCAAAATACTAACACTAATTTAATAATTACAGAAAATTGAATAAGCTTTATATATATTCGTCTTCTGTTGAAACTTAATGGCTGCGATCGCAAAATTTATTAAAGAAATGTTTATTAGAAAATATGCTTTGATAAGAGGTTTTTATTTTTCAGAATAATTTATAATGGAAATTTAAAAAAATTGTAAATAAATCGATTCATTTCGTCGATGAAATCACAGAGAAATTTTCAACAATAATTTTTTACTAAAATACTTATACGATTATTTTTTACAACATTTAACGATATTTTCTGCTTTACCACATTAATGTTAATTATTAAAATAAATCGTATAGTCCTTAACCTGTGTAAACAAGTCTGAACGAGTTTCGAAAAATTTTCTCCCTCACAACCCTTTGCTTTTAAACTCATGATTGGTATTTAAAAAACTCGTTAGTTATTCGTGGATAACAAACCGCGCTAGAAATTATACCTTTTCAAAATTCGAGAATAAACTGTTTATGGACAGTAAAGAAAACCTGAACTTTGTAGCCGTTCAGCATGAGCGAGGCCCTCGAAAACCTAAACTGCAGCCCTCCTCCAACCCCCAAATGCAACCTTCGTCTGTGGCTCACAGTCTACAACAACACATGCCGGTAGGCGACAAGTTACCGTCGAGTTCGACGTCACTCCATTTCCCGCCAGGCCTGTTCGGACCGCCTCGTCCACTCAAAGCTCTTACCTTGCCGCCGCCGCCGGTCCCCAGCCCTACGTCACATATTGACGCTTTACCGCCCTCGATGTTTCATCCCCCGGCTCTGCCGCCGCCGCCCGGACTCTTACACATACTCATGTCGGCCGAAAAATGCCAGGTTAGTCCCACCTCTCTAGTGAGACGCACACGAACTCTTTAATTTAATTCGAAGGAACTGGTGTGGGGCACGAGGCTCTCTCAGATGGAGTCCCCCTCGTCCAGCGACACCAACTCTGGAATAAACATCAGTCCGGGGATTCCGGTGACGCAGCCGCCGCCGATGGCCCCTCTGCCCCTCACTCCCACCTGGGAGATGCTCCAGGTAAATAATAAACAAACAAGAGTGTTAACTTTCCGTATGCACGTGTCAAGCACGTGTTCCGGCCACCCCCGAATGCACGCAGAGGAGTGGTGTGTGCCGTGACTTGTTGGCATTCGCGGTGACTTTTCGGCGAAGGTCGCTGTTGGCTGAGCTCTCGACCACCCTTACGTTCGGATCCGCCCCTTTCAGTTTTACATATTTCAGGAAACGACCGCCCGACTGCTGTTTATGGCAGTGCGATGGGTGAGGTGCTTGGCGCCCTTCCAGACCCTGAGCAAACACGACCAGCTCCTGCTGCTGCAGGAGTCGTGGAAGGAGCTTTTCCTGCTGCACTTAGCCCAGTGGTCGGTGCCGTGGGACCTCTCGGCCTTGATGGGATGCCCGCAGGCGAGGGAGCGGCTGCCGGCGGACATACACACCGCCACCGAAATCAAGACCATCCAGGTAACACTTAAATAATTACATTTCTTTTTATCAAGCTCAATTTTGTCTGGATGACATCATCAAAATTTCCTGAAGAGATTGCAAACTCAGTGTAAATATATAAATTTGTTTGTTTTTAAGGAAATCATGTGTCGCTTTCGCCAAATCTCACCCGACGGTAGCGAATGCGGCTGCATGAAAGCAATCATTCTCTTCACTCCCGGTAAATATAACAACTCTTTAAATAATGACAACTGAGTACTTTTTGTTCAGAAACAGCGGGTTTGTGTGACGTACAACCGGTCGAAATGCTGCAAGACCAAGCCCAGTGTATACTAGGGGATTATGTCCGTACCCGATATCCTCGACAGCCCACCAGATTCGGGAGGTTACTCCTTCTGGTACCCAGTCTGCGAGCTATTCGCTCGCTTACGGTCGAGCTACTGTTTTTCAAGGAGACCATAGGGGAAATCCCGATTACGCAGCTCCTGGGAGACATGTACTATATGGAAAAATGTGCAAACGCCCCTCCATAAATGTTTCTTCCTTTCAAAAAAATCTATTTATTATATTTAATTAAGCTGTACAGTTTAAATATAGTTTCTGTGATAAAAATGTGTAACTGTTGGATTCGATACTATATCTGGGGCTCCTTACATGGAAGACATCACCCTTTTTTGTTGCAGGAATTTTTATTCTCTTTACGAAATGTACCTGTAGGTATTTTATGTCCGTCTACCTCAACAGTAATTATCTCGTACCTATTTGTGTACACTGATTCATTTTATTATGTCCTGAAATTAAGTTGTGTATATGTTTTCCATGTTGTATAATTTACATTTACAAAGTAATAAATTTGTTGTAACGTTGTTGTTTGTTTTATTTACGACGCATACACTGGCCACTGTTTTCAAATTTGACGTTCAGAGCATAATTTACTAATAAATTATCAAATAAAAAATACAAAATATATTTCTCGCTCACAAAGAGAAATCACGCAGTCTTTATGTTCGTTTTAGAACGAATTCATTAGCAGTTTTTGGTCTTTTTGCCAACTTTCGTTGGGAAGCTAATTACATTAGGGCTAAACTGCTTCGCACTATTATTCCGGGTATTGATCCTGAGTTTTTTGTGCTTTTCTCCTCGTCACGTCTTTCATCCATCGACAAAACACCTCTTAGTTTTCTCATTTTTCGATTTTTGTACTCTTTCACTAATTGTTGCCGCTTCTGTTCCTTCAGCTTAATTATTTCTTTGGGTTTTTCAAGCTCTTCTAGATTCGGAGAGGATAGGGATTTAAAAGGTGAATTCTAGGACCTCTGGCTTTATTTACGTTGAACTTCTTTTTGTTTCTTTCATTAAGGGACATTTTCCTGCTTACAGGTTCATTCTATAGTTATTCAAAAAATCATTATAAGATGGACTGAAATAAGCTCCACACAATAAACATCATCGATCGAGCAATCTGAATATGAAAAAATCAAAAAATTAAAATATCCAACAATTTGAAAATCCAGAAATTGAAAAGTTCCAAAAAATGAGAATGTTAATAAATAAATGAGAAATCGAAAACTTGAAAAATCGAGTATCTAAAAATTGGAAAGTCGAAAAATTAAAATCGAATTACCGAGGTGTCAAGAAAATCTAAAATTGACTGAAATTGAAAAATTCCAAAACTGAAAAATCGAAAAATTGAAAATTAAAAATTGAAAAATCTAAAAACGTAAAGTCGAAAAAAAATCGAAAGATCGAAAAATAAAAATATTGAAGAACTGAAAGATCGAGAAATAGAAAAATCTAGAATTTTCAAAAAAAAAAAGAAAAATTAAAGTATCGAAAAATCTAAAAACCAAGAAATCAAAACATCGAAAAATTCGGAAACTGAAATATCGAGAAATCCAATCATCGAGAAGTCGAAAAATCGAAAAATTGGAAAATGGAAATAAACCACAATCGAAAAATCTAAAAGTTGAAATTTGAAAAACTGAAATATTTCAAATTAAAAAAATCACTAAATCGAAAAATATATGAAAATATATATTTTAGATGTCCCTTTTTTTATAAGACAAACGATAAGCCACCGATGACAGCTTGTAACGACTCAAACTTAGAGCATTTTTATTACAATAACACACAATGACAACACATCGTTAAAATAATAACATTTTTAAGTTCAAAAATACCCTACAGATTGCTATAAAAACTGGAAGAAAAAGATTAAAAGCTTACGAAGACACCGTCACAATGTGCATCTTCTTCGCCGCAAAACTGGAATTGTTAACCAACAAATCCCCGATATTGATTCCACGTTCTAGTAGCTTTTGCGGGACTTCGATGAAAACGCAAGCCGAGGAAGTGTGCGGTCTTCTAGTTCTCTTTATATTCTGGCGCGGAACGAATTCGCTAGCAGTTCTGGGTCTTTCGCCCATTTTTTCGCAGACCGGGAAGCTAATCACGTTAGGACTGAAACACTGCTTCGCACTATTATTTGTATTGATTTTCTGCTTCTGGGCTTTTCTCCTCGCCACGTCTTTCAGCCACTGACAAAACACCTCTTCGTTTTGCTGATTCTTTCGGTTTTTGTATTCTTTTAGTAACTGTTGTCGTTTTTGTTCTTTCATTTTAATGATTTGTCTGCGACGTTCGCGCCTTTCGAGCTCAGCGGAACTCAAACCGTACTCAGATCGGAAACCGTTGTAACAGGGTAAGTTTGTGGGGTTTCTTGCTTTGTTTTCGTCGCAGCATTTTCTTGTCTGGAGCTTTAGTAAAGGGCACTTTACTGGTTTTTCGCGGATTTCTAATTTTTTGATCGACATGGACATGTCGAAGTCTAGGCGCTCGATGCAGTGGTTCTTGCATTCCACTGGGATGTGGCTGATTTTTGACGACTTCGGTAAAGGAGATCTTTTTCTGACTTTCTTCTTTCTGACGCTGGATTTGGTTTCGCTGCCTCCGGAGGAAATTCGCACCGTGACGTTGTCGTTTCTTGATTCTTCGGACTCGTCGAGTTGATCGTGGAAAGAATTATTGTCGAGGTCTTCTACTTCACATTCTTCGGTTACTATTTCGTCGATCACGTCTTCGACTTCCTCCTCTTCCTCGCTGATGTCAAAAATATTTAAATTAATTACATTTGAGCTTTTGTATTCCAGGATTTGCGAGTTTTCTACGAGTTCTGTCGTCTCGGGGGGGTCACTCTCAAGACTGTTGACGTCGTCGTCTGTTAAAAAAAGCTCGGGTTCGTAAGAAGTTAATTCTTCTTTAAACGTAACTCGAGAAGTCTTCTCCATGGTGGTTAAGGTGTTACTGAACAAATCAATATTGGCCTGCTGAACTTTTTCCGCAATGTTGTAAGGTGACGATGCGGGCTGCAGAACTGATTTTTTTTTAGTGGAAACAGTTGTTAAATCGATAAGTGTGTAAGAGAAAAAACTTACAGTAACTTCCGTAGTCGTCGTCTTCGTTTTCCGAGTTATTTTGTAATTTATCCAAAAGCAAGTCCATCTCGTCGAGTTCTAAGTTCCCACCAAAATAATTAATTTAAATATTTTTAAAAGTCCGCACCGGTCACTATGTCCACACAAACCAGATGGCGATGTTTGTTGTGGTTGTCTCCAGGGAAACAAGTCAACAATAACGGCAACCGGGGATTAAGGCTCATTCGCACGAGATGTATAGGCCAGGCACCGTAAATTGCGTTACATTTTTTAACCTAATCGATACCTAGTTCCGATTTTCGTTTTGGACAATAGTTATTGGTTTTGACCAAAAACAGAAAATGTGTTTAAAAGCCACTTTTAAACGGCATCCTTGGAAATATTTTATTACAAATAATTTTCTGCACTTATTGTCTTTGCCATTTCTATTGTAACACCACCTGTTGATTTTGGTTAAAATTTAGCAATTGGTAACAGCTTTTGCTTGATTAATAACGACTTTTAGTTAGAAAATTGTCTGAATATGAACGTTGCCAAATTTACGATTAACAAGTGGTGTTTCAATAGAAATGGCAAAGACTATATATTAGAAAAAAATATTTATTAATGAGATGGTAAAAATTGATTTATTGTAAAAACCGACTCTGGTAAATTTACCACTTCTAGCGACATCTAGAACTAAACTAACCGATCTTAAATTTTGCCTCTCCTTAAGTTTCCATGTCAACAACTGTCAACAACTTCGCTTTCGTGTGACGTCATATCAGTAGCCGGTACTTTTTTTATGTTGATAATACGTTAAGCGCTTTTCCGCCATAAATCAGAAGATTACGATCCCTTATCAGCTTTCATGTAAACACTTCTCAAATCGATCTTCAGATTTACATAACTTCCGCCACGTCCAACAACATAACCTCAAAATGCGTAATTTACTATTTTTGATTCATCTGTTTATAAGTTGTGTGTATTTCGCGGCTGCTCTCGAAGAAGAATCATGCCAAACTTTTGGAAGTGGCTCCGTGTACCCCCTCGGCGTGAATCCACAAAAAGCTGAGCACAAATTACAATGGACACAAGCTGTCAGTAAGTATGCAAAACATTGAAAAACTGGAACTTATTTTCGGGTTTCAAGTTTCAAAACCGGCTCCGTTTTGGGAGAGCACGGCCGTAGTGAACGGGGAATTCGTTCAGTTGAAGTCAACGGACTTTTTGGGGAAATATTTGGTGTTCTTTTTTTATCCTTTGGATTTGTAAGTTGGGCTGAATGCGGTGATGAGAGTTTGTATTTTTGTTTTTAGCACTTTTGTATGCCCGACGGAAATTCTAGCATTCAGTGATCGCATCCAGGAGTTTCGCAATGTTAACACTGAAGTTGTTGCTTGTTCTGTTGATTCTCATTTTACACATCTTGCTTGGATTAACACACCCAGGAAGGAAGGGGGGCTCGGGAAAGTCCAGATTCCTCTCCTTTCAGATTTAAATCATAGCATATCTAAGGCATATGGTGTGTTTTTGGAGGACTTGGGACATACTTTGAGGTTTGCTTGGGGAATATTACAGGTTTATATTTTAATCAATTTGTTTTTTAATGCAGAGGTTTATTTATTATTGATCCTAAAGGTGTACTTAGACAGATCACTATGAATGATCTACCAGTAGGCAGAAGTGTAGATGAGACTTTAAGACTGGTTCAAGCCTTCCAGTATACTGATCAGCATGGTGAAGTGTGTCCAGCTGGATGGAAACCTGGACAAGATACAGTAAGACATTTTAAGGGCGAAGAAAACCCTTATTTTATTGTATTATTATTTCAATAAGCTGAAATTGCCTCACGTTTGAAAAGAACTTCATTACGTGTTTTTATTACAGATAATACCAAATCCAGTGGAGAAAAAGAAGTATTTTGAAAAGCACTGATGTGCTGCGTGTTTTTTTTACAAACTGTAACATCACAATAAACAATTTACATAAAAATAATACTTTTTATTGAAAGTGTAAGATAAATAATAAATGAAATTTTTAAGTCAAACTATAAACATGATATAACAACTAACAAATCAGGATAATTTTTTCTTATGTTTTGGACTTGACAGCGTTATTAGTGGAACTCGCTTTTTTGGAACACTGGTTTTATCTACTGTGTTCGTTAACACTTGCGGCACTTTTTCTATTTCAACAGTTTTCTTGAGCATGGTTTCATTAGTATTTTGTGGAACATTAATATCATTGTCTTTGATTTGAACACAATTTTCTTGTTTGTCTTTTGTTTGAGATTCAGTCTCATCTACTTTGTTTGATTTTTCTTCACGTTCTTTTTCCTTTACGTTTTCCTTTACATCTGTAATGTTAACCGCGCCTCCATGAATACTCACTTCGGTGTCTTCTAGGTCATGACTGTGATTTTTGTCTGCTTCATCGTTTTTACTGTCAGAAGAATCTTGTTCATTTTTGCTTTCTGGACTTATCTGACTGTTAGTGTTTTCTAAATGCAAACTGAAATCTTCTGTATATTCGTCATCATTGACCACTGTAATTTTTTGTTCTTTTACGTCATCTGTTTCGCATTTCCATGCATCTCTGGCTTCATTTTCATCTACAGTTAAATCAATCATGTCAGCGGAAACGTCAACTGTTGTGTTCTTGGAGTCATTCTTCTCCTTTGACACTCGTTTCAAAAAATTTAATAGCGGACTACCTCTAGGGGAAGGATTTTCTTTTTTACTCAACATAATTTCGTTATTAATTTTCTTGTCTTCTACACGGATTGGTTTGATTCTCTTACAAACGACCTCCTGCTTATGTGTTGAGCTTGAAGCTTCCTTCTCAATTTTCTTATCTTCAACTCGAATAGGTTTGATTCTTTTACAGGCAACTGCACTTTTACCAGGTTCATCTTCACGTTTTCTCTTAACGTTGTCATCTTCAATCTCATTGTTACTACTAGTACTCGCACTCTTCTTTTTCGGCGTCTTCACCGCCCACTGTTCCAACAAATTCAACCTTTTTGGCTTAACAAAATCCACGTTCTCGTCCTTCTCCAGCTCCTCGCACCCGCTCACATCCAAAACACTCTCTTCAACTTCACTTTCCTCCTTAACATACTGAACACCCAATTCATTTGGTTCAAAAGTAATTAAAGCACAATATCCATCAGTTGACGACGCAACCAATAAAAGACCGTCTTCGGACCAGGTCAAATCAGTCAATCTTGTATAGTGGATATCCTTAAAGTAGGCAAAAGGCTGAATTTGTTGCGTATCATACAAAATAACGTCGTGATCGGTTCCGACCGCAACGATCATACGAAACGGAAGAGAAACAGCCGGATCTGGACCATTTACGTGCAATTCGAATAAAATGGGACAAAAACGTACCACCGTACTACACTGACTCCCAGATGGTAGCATAGCGATAGGTCTAAAATGGACAATTATCATTTGCGTTGGTACAAAACTGTGAACTTACTGTGACCACGATTCGACGGCAAAAATAAGAGTTGCGTTTAAAATTTTCTTGCAGTCTTCAATCTCAATTCGTGCTGAAGGCACCGCTAGCAGCGTTCCGTCAGGGGAAAAGTGCAATCGTCTGAAAAACGACTTGAATGTGTCGTCGTGGAAAAACTTAACGTCTTTGTTGTGAAGATAATGGTCTTGAGGCACCGGTAAGCACCCCCTTTGTATTCTACATTTTACTTGTTTTCCAGATGACTCAAATACTCGGCAGACGCGATCAGTGCTGATGGTAGCTAGGTAGTGGCCTTTGGGGTCCCATGCAACACCCTGCATATTAAAATTTGTGTTTTAGGGGTGTACAATATTGGCAAATAAACTAATAATACCTGCACAAAACCTTTATGGTCTGATAAAATGTTGTCATTATTACCCCTAGTGAAGTCCCAGATGATGGCAGTATTGTCTATTGAACCTGATAGTAGTTTCAGACCACTTGGTGACCAACACAAGTCATAAATATCTTCTTTGTGACCTCTCATTACCTATAAAAATACATTTTTTAAAATTCCATTGCAAGTGGCGCCCCCTTGGGCTTATTTTGTGAATTGTGATGTTCAACAAAAGACACTCATGTTATTTAATTTCAAACATTTAATGCCCACATCAAAAATGTCCCTTTTTTTTATATAAAATTAAAGACAAAACGGTCGCCTACTGTGTTTTCTTGAAACGCAACTTAATCTTACTTTGTAAACAATCCATGTTTCTTTATCACTGGTTTCACCTTCCAATAACGGAATATTATCTGTTTTAAGCTGCCAAATGATGATGTTTGCATCATCGTCCGCTGTAGCAAGGTGCTGTCCACTAGGTGACCACCGAACCGAATTTACAGCTCTCTGATGTCTGGTCAAGTCCGATAAAGCTTCCATTTTCACGGCTCCATTCTCATTTATTGCTAATTGCCAAATCTGTGTAACACAAGTTAGTGGGTGTCCAAACAACGGTAATTCATTAGTCTCACCAGAACATGACAGTCGGCGCCCCCAGTTGCTAACCTATAAAATTTTTCTGAAAGAGGTTGTATGTGAACACTTAGAACTGGTTCTCGATTGTGCCAAGATATTTCCGGGATAGTACACTTCATATTACTCTTTAAAAACTGCTAACGGGATAAACGTAGAAACGGATAAAGCACTATTTATTTTTCTCAAAACAAAACGAAGAAAATAATATTTGACAACATTTGGCGCCAAACTGAACACTAAATGTCAGTTATTCTAGGGGATTCAGGGCTGCCAAAAGCCACTCACAACCCAATTTTTAATTATTTCTCATATTTTTAAGCAAACCAATTTTTTGCTTAATTTTGTAACCAGAAACGGTATTTAAAAAAAATGTTTTTAAACTTCATCTCTGTGCCGATCTCTCGAACCGCAATGCGCTGTTTGGTACTAAATTTTTTTCGAGTTACTATTGGTAGCATTGCGTGATTGTTGATTGTTGAGGTTATAAAAAATACCGTCGATTGAAACGGAAAAAGTTTTAACAAAAGTGTAAAACCGCTGTAATCTTGAATGTGAGTTGGTGTTACGAAATTAATTATTGAAATTGTAGCAAATCTGGATGACAAAGTAGAAATAATGATTGCTGCCTCAGATCCACAGGTTAGTACTTGCTTTAGTTTTTGGGGCTTTCTGCTTGGAATTTGTACACCCACAGTCACAGTCTCATTTCAGTGTATAAAACAATTTAATATAATTATAGATGTCAGATTTCTCAGTAAAAATTATGGGTGTTCAGTGGCGTACTTCGAAATTTCATTACAATATTAATACAGGAAATATATTTTTAAAAATTCAAGTTACATACATATTTTGTAAAACCGTAACGAATGTCTTTGAAATTTTGGCAAAATGTAAGCATTGATTTAATAAATACTAAACAATGATGTAAAATGTACGTACGTATTTATCCCCTTCAGAAAGATGATGACGTCATCTGAAAAATTATTAATTAATAAGAGTTTATTAAAATAGGAAATTGAAGTGAGTTCTTCCGGTAAATTGATTGCTGAATCTTTTTTAAAAAATGCTCAGGAATTTGTTCCAAGTGGACGGCAGCAAGCATTAAAACATCCAGGACGAGGTCAGTTTGTCCCTAAAAAGTCCTTTGGTGAAACCGAAGATTTACTCCTCGATAAATTGGAAAAGGTTTCGCTGAAAGAACGCAAAGAACCCGAGTGGTGGTTATTACGTAAAGCCCCCATTGGTCAATTCAAGGAAAATTGGTCCAATCGATCCAAGAACGGCGACAAAGATTGTTTCCACTCAAACTTTAACAAGTCTTTCTACAGACAGGATGTTCACGACAAATCCTGCAGTTTCAAAAGTTTCGAACACTCTCACAAGACAGATAAACGAGCGTCTGACAACATTTCCAGATTTTCAACTAAGCAAGAAAATGTGTGTAGCTCCTGTGGTAAGAATGAGTTCTTTCAAGAACTAGTGGTTGAGTGATTGTTGTAGGAGCGAATAGCGTTAAAAATCGACTTAATTTCATGGAAGATGAGCTATACGTGAAAGGAAACACGGTGATTTGGTCGAGAGGTTTAGACAGCTGTGACAATTTAGACAATGGAAGAAAAACTATTTGTGCCTATACCTCGTCTCTACCCATTAAACACGCGATTTGGTGTACTTTTTATTGCGAACACCCTGCCTACGAAACTGATCTATTTCCGGTTTACAATAAACAGGAGGACTCATCAGGGGTGCCGGTTCCGTCAGTTTGCATTGTTGATGCGCACAACATCCAGGTTTTTACTCAAAAAGGAGAAGATTTTGTTACGGCGTTGCCGTTTCAGATTGAAAAAATATGGAACATCAAGTACGGGATTTTTCTGGAGAAAGAAATGGACGGTGAGAGTGTCAAAAAAAAAAATTGCGCAAGCTTTAACTGTTTTTTGTCTAGGACACATTTCGACTCTCGAAAACAAACCCTCTTTATATTCGCTAGCTTTTCCACTGGATGAAGTGTGTCCTGTGGTCATGAATATAGGTTCACATATACAAGTTTTGAGCAACAATTTTAAATTGGTGTATACGAACGAAGATCCAAGTATTTGTTTGATGTATGATATTCAAACTAGACAGCACAGCGTTTATTACGTTCGTAGGGTCACAAGTCAAGAGAAAATAGATTTCGTGCAGAAGATTAACAGTACTTTTCATTCCGCTGCTAGTTTATCCAATAAGGTAAAATAATTAAGAAATGTGATCATTACGGTCGCGGTCGTACGAAATGAGCTCATTGCCCACTCATAGTGTAATTTTTTTGTAGCTGAAAAGCCGTTACTCAATGTGGGAGTGTGTCAAAAACAGCAACTACTTGAACGTTCCAAGCCCCATTAGTAGTCGTCCTGGAAGCGTCGCCAGTTTCTACAACCAAGTCCACCACTCCAAGTCGCAAAGTTCGATGGCCACAGTCAGGTAAGGGAGTAATAAGAGTGGCTTGGGGTCATAAAATCGCCATAAAAATGATTTTAGCCGTTGTCAATCCCCTGCCACTTCTTCGGTTGGCAGCCCTTGGCTCCAAATGGCGTCTCGTTTGAACACCTCTGTGCCGTGTGGAGGAAACAACTACGCCCAATCAGAGTGCTCATTTTTTGACAGTTCTAAACTTATGACTTATCTTAACTCAAGTCCGGTGATATGTCTAGAGCACCTCTGGACTGACCCAAACCTAACCCAGTAATACCGCAATTTTTGAAATTTTGGTTGTTCATTTTCGATTTTTAGCGACGACACGACGTCGAGTTCTGCTTCGAAAGTGTTTTTGTGTGACGACTTCACAGATCAGTGGTACCTGTGTTACGTTTTGCCCATCAAGTGTCAATTGTGTATGGTTCAAATTGACTTTTCAGACGCTAGCAATATTAGGTTTGGGATGATGAACCATATTAGCGCTAAAGACGCGGTTCCTGTTCCGGTAAGTTTCGTTGCTTAGCATTTAACAAGTAGTTATTTTATTTGTAGACGATACGTGTGTTGGCTGTGTTGGAGCACAACGGAAACGTGAGTCTCTACTCTGGTCTTACCCTTGTGGGTAAACTACACATTGGTGGCACTCTTGTCCAACACACACCGTCTCCGTACGTTCGGAGGAATCTATCAAACTTCACTTCGCCGTTTCCGAGGTATTTTATAATTTAATAAATTTTCGTGTCGTTTGAATGCGGTTTCTAGACGAAGCAGCCTTTTGCCGCACTGCAAACCCAGCGATCCGAAATTCGACGAACACTTACTCTCCCCCGTGATGCCAGAGACGTCGAATGTGCCACCTAGAAGTGGTAACATCCTTCAGTTGAATTTCCAGATTGAAAGTAACTTTGTCGTTGTTTGAATTTTACCGTATTCATCGTTTTCTTTTCAAGATAATTTACCAAAAGCGGTACTGAACGGTTTGCGCGACCCCATAGAAAATCGAATTACGCTTCGGTACTCAGATGGTACCTACTATAGAATAAATTTGCCGCCGCTGACTGCACACCCTTTAATCGAAAGTTGTATAGTGGGCTTGAAACAGTGCCTAAGCAGGGACGTGATTTCAGTGGTTTTGACGAAGTGGTACGCTACAAGGAACGCTCTGGGTGCACAAGACATGAACCTGGAACAAGAGTGGAATAATTTTCAGGGGTTACTTTTGGGTAAAAATTGTCACAGAACTAAAATCACAAACCCTTGTTACTATTTTTACAGAACTTCTGGGCTACGAACAACAAGGTGTTAGTATCAATGAAGACTGTCCAGTCACTCCGTTAAGTAACCCAAAAAAACTGAAACACTCGACGTCAGGAAACGACGACGATTGGGTCTACCTCACCAATTCCATTCACGAAACAAAAATCTCACAGTGTTTGAAACACAACTTACGTCTGGCGGGTACAACGAAGCCTTCAATCACCAATGTGAAGAACACGTCGCAGATAAACGTCAATTCGATTTTGTTTCCTTCGATAAAATTGGTCCATTTTTGCTTGCACTTGTTGTATGAGGATTTAAAGTTGAACGTGTTGCGATCGGAAGATTTGAAACTATTGGGGGTGTTTTTGAACAAGTTGTCGCGCGATTTGGGTCTGGTTGAGTATTCGGTCCACTATTGGAAAGATTTCCCGGACATTTGTACCATAAGGTCGTCGGAAATTGTTGGACCTAGTGAAAGAAAATTCGTGAATGAGTGTGCATTTGTGGATAAGAAACCAGCGAGTGTGATGAACTTTATCTACGATTTAATGCAAGGAGGGGAGACTGGTCATTATCCGTTCGTAAATCACGTAAATAATAGGTCGAGGGATATAATCGAGGTAGTGTTGACGCTCCATAAGTTTTACCAATATATTTTTTGTGTTCTTTGACAGATCTGCGGTGTCATTTTCAAACAGCTCCACTCCACCAACACCACCTTAATTAAATATCTAGAACCGAACTTTTCGCTAAGCGAGCACCTCATCCTAGACGAAGAACTGGTCTCTCCGGGACGGACTCCAGCGGAACAAGCAGTTCTACTAATGACTGCTAAAAATATCACCGTCAGGGACATAGACACTCTACCTCCGGCTATCTACCTTCTCATGTATAGTACTCTGTGGAAGTGCCGAACCGAACCTCCGTCTGACTTACCAGTGGAAGCATATTATCTCCTGTGGAGGGACGATTTGGCTGCACAAGCCAAGCAAATGCAAGACGAGAAGTCAGACGGAAGTAACGACAAGAACGGGATGTTCACTTCGCAATTACAAGGGATTGTTCCAACGTCCAAGCAGGTAGATGGGGAACAACAAGACGGTATGGAGGATATCGAAAGTCCGTTGATTAAGTTGCGTTTTCCGGATGACATGAGGGTAGCGGAGGCTCGGAAGATGTTACAGAGCTCGAAACCTGTGCCCATTGTGCTAGTACAAAGGCCGGATGTTTCGGATCACGATTTCATCGAGGAGCAGGAGAAGCACTTGTATGCGATATGTACAAGAACTATGGCTTTGTCGCCCGGAAGGTAATAATTTTTATATGGCATGTTATCGTACTTTTGGAGGTGAATGTACTAATGTGCTTAACCATCTTTATACAATGACTAACCAATTTAAACTTAAACCATTACAGAGGCATGTTCACCCTGAGAACATCCACCCCCGTTATCACCGAACCCCTCCAAACTCCCCAGCTGTGCCTCGCCGGCAAAGCGCCCCCCAAAGGCACCACCGTCGAACTCAACCACATCGACACCCCTTCCAACATGAACCTGTGGCCTTTATACCACAACGGCGTCGCCAACGGTCTCCGAATAACCCCCAACGCACACAGCATCGACAACACCTGGATCATCTTCAACAAACCTAAAGGCTCCATGGAACAACAAATGGAACACGCAGGTTTCCTCATGGCCCTAGGTCTCAACGGCCACTTGAAAAACTTGAACGTCCTCAACACCTACGACTACTTGGCGAAACTCCACGAAATGACCAGTATTGGGATACTGTTAGGACTCTCAGCGGCCTTCCGAGGCACTTGCGACCTAAGCATGACGAAAATGCTGAGTCTACACCTGGAAGCTCTCCTTCCTCCGACGTCCATGGAGCTGGACGTCCACCAGAACGTCCAAGTCGCCGGACTTCTGGGGATCGGACTGGTGTACCAGGGGACGTCGCATCGACACATCATCGAGGTTTTATTGTCGGAAATCGGGCGTCCTCCGGGACCAGAAATGGAGAACAGTGTGGACAGAGAGTCGTATTCGTTGGCGGCGGGGTTGTCGCTGGGGTTGGTCACGTTGAAGCAGGGGAGCTGCTCGCTGGGGTTGTCGGATTTGAATATTTCGGATCGGTTGCACTATTACATGGTGGGGGGGAACAGGAGGCCTCTGACTGGTGAGTTAATTAAATGAGGTTTAATCGTGTGATTTTTCCGAAAATTTGTTGTTTAAATGAAGAGATTTATATTTTCAGGGGCTCAAAAAGACAAATACAAGGTGCCTTCGTTCCAAATTCGCGAAGGTTCGTCAGTGAATTTGGATGTGACGGCACCGGGGGCGACGATAGCCTTGGGGCTGATGTACCTGGGTACCGGAAACAAGGCTGTGGCGGATTGGATGGCACCGCCTGAGACGCAGTATTTGTTGGATTTTGTCAGGCCTGATTTTCTCATGTTTAGAATTTTAGCTCGAGGTAAAGCTACTCGAGATTCTGGTGGCGCATGATTACGTATTCAAAATTATAATTGGCATAAAAACAACTTTAAATCAGATATTACCCTCAATAAGTATACTTTTTAACCAAGTTACGGAGAATGCGTAAACCGCCGCCAGACCGTTGGAACATTCTGTATAATTTTCGAGTACACTTGCAGCGTTAATTCTCTGGAACGACATCGAACCCACTCAGGAATGGGTCGAAAGCCAAGTTCCGAGCACCATTAGACCCTACTGCATGATTAAACCCACCTCGAATTCGAACATAGATTACGAAGCTATGAAGTAAGTCGCCGTGATTAAAAAAAAAATAAAAGCACTTAAGTCACATTTTATAGCCAAGCCTACTGTAACATCGTAACAGGGGCTTGCTTCGCTCTAGCCCTCAAGTTTGCCGGTTCGGCAGACGAAGATGCCTTCCAGACCTTGCTACACTTTTGCCACATGTTCACGAATCTTACGATTAAGTCGATTGCCGAATTAGCGGGTAAACCAACCGTGGAGATGTGTCTCAACGTGCTTCTACTCTCAACTTCCATGGTAACAATTTGTCGTGTACCGCATTTTTTTAATAGCTACCGTAAATTTGGTGTAGGTAATGGCCGGAACTGGTAACCTTGATATAATGCGCCTCGTGCGTCTCCTTCGACGAAGAGTAGGTGTCGCTAGTAGCGCTGTGGTCACTTATGGCTCCCACTTGGCAATGCATATGGCCCTAGGATTATTATTCTTAGGAGGTACAATGTCTAGAATTAGGCGAAATATTGACTAATTGTGTTGTTTCGGTAGGTGGTAGGTATACTTTGTCCAATTCACCTCAAAACGTCGCAGCTTTAATATGCGCTTTTTACCCGAAGTTCCCCACTCACAGTAACGACAACAGGTACCACCTCCAAGCCTTCCGCCACCTCTACGTTCTGGCGGTCGAACCACGCTTGATCATCCCCAAGGAGGTTCATTCTGGCAAAAGTTGTTACGCTTCATTGACTGTCGTTAAAATCGACGGCAAAACGTCATTCGTGAAGGGGCCTGGGATCATTCCCAATCTTGAGACTTTGCAGAAGGTCGCCGTCGACGATGACAGATACTGGCCAGTGGTGTTCAAAAGGGGACAAAACTGGGATGCTTTGACGTAAGTTTTTGTAGGTGCGCTAGAAAAAAATAAAAGTGCGTTCTTTCAGAACTATTTTGTCTACGAATGGGTTCATCGAGGTGAAACAACGAGCTGGTTGCCTTAGTTATTTGGCAGATAAACTCGGGTATCATAGCCAGTTGGCGAAAACGTTAACCCAGTCGGAGATGGTACCATGGGACCCTCCGGCGTCGTCAATTGTTTCTTTTACACACGATCAAGCGATCAAGTTCTTCTGCGATCATTTCCTGGCGGTAGACAACGAACAGTCGACGGCGGAAGAGTTACGGGTGAGGAAGATTTTAACCAAAGCGACGTACGATGCAGTTGTGAAAGATAAACTGATAATAGTACCTGTAATTAGTTTTCTTCTTAAGGTATTTTTTTTTTATTGATTTGATAATTTAAAACTGACGATTGATTCTTTAGGTCATCTCTGACATGAAGATGCTCCCAAATTCTACAAATCTTTGGCAGATCAAACTAATTTTTGCTCAAATATTGTCCACTTCGTTATCGTGTAATCTCATTTCTCCTGAAGTGGTACTTTCCGTAAAACAACAAATAACGGATACGTTGGAAAACTGGGAGGGCTCTCTTGTGGAACCATTGCAAGCTTATTTGAACGGCGACGAATCTATTTGTGAACCAGATGTCTTTCCTAGATTAGCCATGTATGTGATATTTTATGATATTCCGTTTAAGTACGATTGTTGCGGGATGGAAATTTTGGAAGCTATGTTGAAAATTCAGAAGAAATTTTCTGTTACAACGTTGGATAAGATGATGAAATTTAAATTTAAGGTACCTACTTGTAAATACTAGAACGTATTTTTATAAGCAAAGTAAATAAAAATCACAAACTGTTTCACACTTGTGTAAACCCAGAACAATAGACCATTAAGTTAAACTTCATGCGATAAGGTCTTAAACGTGACCCGCACAAGTTCTGATTAAATTTTGAACACATTTCGCCATTTGGTTTATCGCAAAATAAAATGTATTATTCAAAATAGTTGTTGGCGTGGTAGGTCATAAAGGTTATAATTTAAAAAAAAGACACAAATTTCGTGATAACAACGGCAAACTTTTAAATTAGACCACGGGCGGACACATTTTTGAAAAGACAATTAAAATGTAAAAATATTTCATAATTTTAAAATTATTCCTTGATGTACTGTCAACTGTACTTGGAATTTTCTCAGCCATCTGCGTCAACAACCACTTTGGAATAAATGATAACTTCTTCATCCCATTTTTTTGTGGTTTATCATTTTTTACACTGTAACGACAAAAGTTCGAGTTACACTAGGCAAAGAAAACAAATCTGGTTTTTGTGTATTACTTTTATTGCCAAAATGTAAACTGGGTAATAAATTTTGATCATTGAAACTTAAATTACGCAAAATATGCTATAAAAATACAAAAAGATAAATTATCAATAGTAAGGAATGACAGATCATTATAAACTTGGAATTTCTGGAAGCTTCAGAAAGAAAATGGTGTCTGGTCAGTCATGCTTGGAGTATTAAATTGAATTTGTCCATTAGTAACACTAGCAGTCACTGCTTCCTCTTCACCCTACAAAAAATAAATAAATAAAAACACCTACAAACCAAGTTAAAAATCCCACCTCAGCGAAATAATTCTCAATGATGTGCAACGCCCGTTCGTAAACCTTTTCGTTATCATGTGACTGCAAAGCCTCAATACCATCCAAACCACCACATTCCTCAATCATAACGGCCACTTTTTCCGCCTGGTCAACCTTAGCAGCGGCCCCTAGAATATTATTTAGACCTTCCAGAACAACAATAATGGTCTTGCTGTCTTTTGAATTTAATAGATTACACATGGGCTTCAAGGCTCCCATTTCTACCAACTGACCCAACTGGGCCGCAGTACCACCACTCGTGAAATTAGTGACAGCCCATGCGGCCTCTTTCTGAGATTTGAAGTCACCCTGAAACCACAAAGTCAAATTTGTTCATTTAACTACATTGATAAAGTACTGTCTGCAAGACGTTAAGAAGGAATGGCATGATTCCAGCATCCAGTACTTTCTGAATCTGTTCGCTGTTGCCGGCGGTGACATTCGAAACGGTCCAAGCGGCCTCCTTGACAATATTTAGCTTACTGTATTGGAGAAGGCGGATCATGCAGTCCAGTGCTCCCGCGTTGATCACCATGTCAGTCTGTTACATATTTTTGTGTCAAAACTGTGACATTTTTGGGTGTTTACAAACCTGAAGGTCATTTCCCGTGACGATGTTGCCCACAGCCCTCAACGCTGGCGTGAGAACCGTGCTCTCTTCGCTGTACAGAAGCATAACTAAACGATCGATCAATCCCGTATCCAAAACGGCTTGGATTTTCTCGTTGCTGCCATCCGTCATATAGCTTAAGGCCCAACATGTGTCGGCTAACACGTCTTTGTCTTCGCTACATAACAACTTCGCCAAATACGGCAACGCTGGTTTCACTAGGTCGAAATTGGGGTAGGGATTTTTGTTGCGGCAGAGATTTGACAACACCCAGCAGATGTTTCGCATCAACGATAGCGGTGTGGTCGGTTTGATTAGGTTCAAGAGGTTCGGTAAAATCCCGTAGTTTAGCACCAAGTCGCGATTCTCTGGGCCGTCGCCTGCGATGTTGCCGATTGCCCAGATCGCTTGTTCCACCACGTCGGTCCGTGACGACGACAGGAGTTGTTGTAGTCTGGGTAAAGCTCCTTCTTGGACTACGGCGGCCGTTTGCTCGGAGGTTCCTGAAGCTATGTTGGTCAGCGCCCAGCAGGCCTCAAATTGCAGAGATGGACTGAAATTATTTAATTACGGGTTGGTCATTAAAAAAAAATCAAGAAAATTATTAAATTGACATCTATGGGACCAGACAATACAAATCAATTCTTTACACCCTAAACAGCATACTTCTTGACATTTGCTCATTTAAAAAAGGAATTATGGTTAAAACGACTCACCAGTCAGTTTTCCCTAAAAATTCGACACAACGTGGGACCACCCCCAAGCGAATCATGTGGTCAATAGGCGGATTCCTCTCGCGACTTAAAATTTTACGGCAGGCCTGAGTTGCTTTAAATTGTAGATTCTCGTCAGGATTCATCATTCCTGTAACAATTGTGATTAAGTTTAAAAGAAACAGCGTTTAGCTGGAAGTTTTACCCCACAAAATGTCTTCTGCTGTCATGCTAGTAGGCGAAGTGTTATTTTCTTGTAGTGGGGTTGAGCCTTCTTCTTGCAATGATATGTTCCTCCGTTTCAGTAACTGATCTTCCTTTTTGGCTTTCCTAAGTTCTATAGTTTGACCTGCACGTCTGCGACGCATCTCCTGCAATAAGTCTCAAATTACAACTAAATTCTTGGAATTCAACAAGTGAATTACCTCAGAGTCTTTGCCTTTATTCTTGAAAGAGCGGATTCTGTTTTCGTCTCCCATTTTCTGAAAATATTTACTTTAAAACACGACTTTGCAAAGCTAAATGAAGAACTTGAAGAAAAAAAAGAGTTTTTGGATAGGTGTGAGGTTAAACACACAAAAGTGGCGAAATGTTGGATCAGGGTAACAAATGCGTTAGACATATCGAATAAAGGTTGTTACTCACCACTGAATGTAGTATATCGACGACAAACAAAAATATTACTAAAAAACTTTGAAATTCCTTGCACAAATTTCCGTTAAGTTCTTGTTCTTCCGATTATCTCAAAAATTGTTGGATGCTCACAATGACTTATAATTCACCAATACGAGAACAGTAATGGTGTCTAAAATTAGCCAATGAAAAGTAAACAGTGTAGATGGTGCCTTGTGATTGGTGAAGAAAAAGCGCCAAAATGAAATAGGTGAACGAAAGAGGTGGAAGCATCACGAGATGCGTATCGGAGGTTTCCGTAACATTTTTACACTTCTTGAGTACGCTGTGCCTTCATTGTTCATTAAATTAATTTTATCACAATTTTATGCTCATCGAAACCGCTATTTATGAATGTTTTAACAAATATTTTACCAAAACAGACCGCCAAATCCTTCAGTTTCAAGCAAATCTGACACTTATTGCCAATTATGCAAATATGAAAATTGCGTGGTTAACTCTTCAGACGAGTCCTGGAACACATTGTACGAAAGCAAATACATCGCTTAAATACTTTTTTTCTTAAATAAATTCTTATTTTTCAGTTTTTCACCCACCGTTACTTTATTTCTACAAAAAACAGCACAATTTCAATTGTTTGGTAACCCGCACACCGTTTGGTTGGCACTTCCGTTGTCACTAAATTGAAGCCGAGACTGACATTTGAAGTGCTTTTTGTGCAAATTTTATTCGAATATTTTGGTAAATAAAGCTGATTAAACCCGCACCATGGCTCTACACGTCCCTAAAGCCCCCGGCTTTGCCCAGATGTTAAAAGAAGGCGCAAGGGTAAGCCCCGATTCCTATAAACCCCGAAAAAAGAGACATGTGGTCGATGTGGGAGTCGACCATGCCGGCAATCGACCCAAGTGACTAATCATTTCAAAATTTCAGCACTACTCCGGTCTTGAAGAGGCCGTCATTCGAAATATCGGCGCTTGCAAGGAGTTCGCGCACTCCGTGCGTTCAGCTTACGGCCCCAACGGCATGAACAAAATGGTCATCAACCACCTCGAGAAGCAGTTCGTAACCAGTGACGCCGCGACGATTATCAGAGAACTGGACATCGAGCATCCCGCGGCTAAATTGATGATTCTGGCTAGCGAAATGCAAGATTCGGAAGTGGGGGACGGAACAAACTTTGTTATAATTCTGGCGGGTGCTCTTTTGGAGGCTTCAGAAGAGTTGATCCGGTTGGGGGTGACTCCCACTGATATTGCAGAGGGTTATGAAAAAGCTCTAGAAAAGTGCCTTGAGATTCTCCCAAGTTTGGTTTGTTATGAAATTAAAGATTACCGCAACCACGCTGAAGTGGTTAAAGGAATTAAAACTTCAATTCAGTCCAAACAGTACGGGAGTGAAGACTTTTTAGCTGAGTTAGTTACAAAAGCTTGCATTTCTATTCTTCCGGAAGAGACCACGTTTAATGTGGACAATGTTCGCGTGTGTAAAGTATTGGGGTGTGGTTTACAGAGCTCGCAGGTTGTACAAGGGATGGTGTTTAAGCGGCACGTTGAGGGAGAAGTTACCAAAGCACAGGACGCAAAAATTGTTATATACAGTTGCGCCGTTGATATTCTCCAAACTGAAACTAAAGGCACTGTTTTGATTAAATCGGCTGACGAGTTGATGAATTTTAGTAGAGGAGAGGAGAATCTCTTGGAAATACAGATCAAAGCTATTGCTGACACTGGGGCTAAGGTGATTGTTGCTGGGGCCAAGTTTGGCGATATGGCGTTGCATTACATCCACAAGTATGGGTTGATGGCGGTTAGATTGAATTCTAAGTTTGATTTGAGGAGACTTAGTAAAACGGTAAGTGTTCCCTAGGATGTTTTTTTTTTTTTTTTAATTTAAAATGTCTTCAAGGTGGGTGCCACGGTTTTGCCGCGCCTCATCGCCCCCACGCCTCAAGAGCTCGGCTACTGCGACGTCGTTTGCGTTGAAGAACTCGGCGACACCCCAGTCGTAATATTCCGCTTGAACGGCAAAGAATCCCGCATTTCCACCGTAGTAATTCGCGGAGCAACCGACAACTACATGGACGATATTGAAAGAGCGATCGACGACGGTGTAAACACTTTCAAGGGGATATCGCGTAAGGGACAATTTGTGCCCGGTGCAGGCGCCACGGAAGCTGAATTAGCCCATCAGTTGACCCAATACGCGGACACTCTCCCTGGTTTGGAGCAGTACGCAGTAAGGAAATTCGCGACAGCGTTGGAGAGCTTCCCCAAAGCTTTGGCCGATAATAGCGGTCATCGCTCCACGGCGGTGTTGGAGAAGATCCTGGAGGCCCATCAGGTAAGATTACGTGTAGATGATTTCAGGAAATGCAGAATTTGCTTCCTTCCAGAACGGACAGAAGAACGTCGGTGTTGATATCGATGCCGAAAGCACGATTTGCGACGCGTTAGAAAAGAGTATTTTAGATTTGTATGTGTGCAAGTATTGGGGGCTTAAGTATGCGGTGAGTGCCGCCGCCACCATTCTTAGAGTAGATCAGATTATTATGGCTAAGAGAGCTGGAGGACCGAAACCACGGAAGGCCGCAGGCAGCGATGACGAATCTTAAAGTTTAGTTCAGTAACATATTAATAATGGAGTAAACGTGATACGAAAATGTTAGTAATGTTTTGTATTATGTTGGCACCAGCGGTTTGTATTATTTAATAGAATAAAAGCGACTAACCGAAATAAAGAATTTTGTATAAGTGACCGGTGTCCAGTTTGGCGGAAATTGTTTAGTTAACCTGTCCCATATTTGACACGTTTAGCAAATTAAGTGCAAAAAAATCTCCAATAGCGAACAAGAATATATTTTTATGAACGAAAGTAAACAAAATTCAATTCAGTGAAATCCAACAAGAAATTAATACTAACTGATCACAATAAACGTAAATAAATTTCTAATAAAATACAACAACAAAAAATGGTTTCTTTGATTAACTGAGTACATGGGTGAACACAATGACTATAAATAGGATTAGTTTTAGTTGCTTGGCATGTTTTGGTTGATGGGCGGCGGGAAAATAAACCCTTGCGAATTGATACCCATCGGGTACCAAGTGGTAGAAATAGTGGGTGAATAGTAATAAGGTGATGGTGGTACGTATTGCACGTCGACTGGTGGGGTATAAACTTGGTAGGGTGCAGCCACAGGCATTACCACATCAGCAACATCAGTAGGTGAGGCATAAATGACCGGAGTTCCCGGTGGAATAGGGATGACAGGCGAGAACACTTCCACGGGTTGTGTATTGGGTGGTAAAAAAGGCAGTGTTGGTCTTTCTTTAGCTGGAGGAGTTTCATAACTCTCAGCATACACAGGTGCGTCTTGGTAACATTCAACTTTTTCCTTGATTTCTTCTGGCTCCACTGGGAACTGAGCGTTTTGTGGGCTGTAGTCACCGTTATTGGCCCAGGAGGTGTAAAACCCGTTGTAGTTGTTGTCGACGTGATAATTGACCACATACGGATACTGCGAATCTAGAAATAAAATTGATGGTATTTTCGTAGTTTTGAAACGTGGTGAATCACCATGATACGGGACGACGTTTGGAGTGACAGGGGCGGACGCCACCATTGGTTTTAAACTAAAGTTGGGGGTACTGGGCGACGTCGCCGGCGGCTGAGACCAAACATACTTGTTAGACACTCCTGAAGCAGCGTTACTCCAAGGAGTCTCCCACATGAACTTGGTCATAGGCGACGGAATTTCTGGAGTAACTAGGAGATTATGCTGCGACAGTGGTGTCTCAGGCGGGGTTTCATCCATAGAAACCGAGCTACCATTTTGCATATGCTTAAAAAAAGCCAAAAAACGACGGTAAAACTGCCTCCTGCGCTACTTACTTACCAGTGGAACGCCGATAAAAGCGTCTATATCCTGGTCGACTTGCTCGGACGTGGTCGTCGGAGAGTCGCTTTTCATTCTCCGTTTGTCTTTACGTTTTTTCGGGAGTTTGTAAGCTTTATTGGTTGAGGGACTTTGAACCGGAGTCACAACCAAGTTTTTGGAAAATCTAGGGTGGCAGAAATTTAATTGGGTAGGGGTTTAGGTAGTACAATGTAACACCTGTAGGGCAGAGGCCACGGCTTTGCGTCGTTTTCCGGCGACAGGTCCGTGTAGTTCACTGTGCGCTTTTCTGCTAGCTTTGTAACATAGATGATACACTTGTTTTGGTCTTTGATTATTTCTTGGATGTAGCATTCGTAGGTTTCGCCGTTTTCGTTGAAAATACAGCGGGTTCCTAGGATGAGATTGTCGTCTCCGTAGTACCAGTCTCCTAAACGTAGCTCTAGGAACACAAAGCAACGAACGAATTTTTTTTAATCACTTTTTTTTTAATTCGCTACCGCTTCAAATGAAATGAGTAACCACGGTTTTCGGAATTAAGTTTAAAAACTGAACTAGTGATTACAGAACACCAGTTTTTCACTTAATTGTAAAAAACTGATGATGTCTCAAAATTCTTTGCATATATCAAAAAATTACACCCGCTTTTTTGAAAAATGATAAAATTTGATTTTGCGAATTTTTATTTATGACAACTTCTATACATTGAAACAAATATAGACAATACCGGTAACAGTGTAAGAAACTAAATGACAGCCTATAAATGAGTTTTGATACCCTGTAATATTTTTGTGTTTGTCTACGAACGAAAAATTGGAAAATCGGAAAATTCAAAAACAAAAAAATATATAATTGCATAAATATAAAATTGAAAATCGTAAAATCGACAAACCGAAAAACTAAAATTGAAAAAGCAAAAACTTGAAAAATTGCAAAAATCGGATAAGTAACTTTTAAAACGAAAAACTGTAAAATATATATTTATTATATTTTAATTGAAAATTTACCACGCTTACGATCAATTTAAAATGTCTTTAGCGTACGCTCAGGAAATTAGACGAGTTTTTGACAAAACTGTCGTTTTTTTTTTTTTTTTCAAAAACTTGGTGGTCGTTTTTGGATTTGATTTAAGTTGATTATTTACTATTTAACGTTAGTTTTAAAAATCAGTTAAAATATCTTTTTTATGTATTTGACGCGTTAAAATCTACTTTTTCTTCACAAAAAAGCAACGTGATTATTTAACAAGTTTCACTCACCTCTTCTCACTTCTGTCCAAGAATCATACTCTATGTTCCTGTAGATGGTTGGATCTAGAGCCTTGGCTACTTTAAAGGGAAATGGAGCGACATTTATTGCTTGGGCAACATCTTCACTCTTTTCGCCCTTCTCCACTTTCACCTTAACATCCGCATTATTCACTTGACCAAAAGACATAGAAACAAATTCCTTATCATACAACATCCCACGTACAATATCTTGTACTTTGGGAACTTTGAACACATCCTCATAGAGGATATTGTAAACAATGGCTGAAACAACGTCATCAAGGTACTTCAGCACACTCCCACAAACACTTACATTGACAGAACCCTGCATTCTGTATATGCTCCTTTTGGTGCACCACATCATAGTGGTCCTCATTCATCAAACAAAGAGTCAAGGACCTATCCTGGTTCCTGTTTGTTACATTTGCAGCCTTCTGATTTGTGGCATCATAGACAATAACATCACAACTACAGTAAAAAAAATAACCACTTTTCTTTAACATAATACAAACTTACTTGTATTTATGACTAACTATTTGGATCTCTATGTTACCACAAATCACCATGTGTTTCTCCAGTAGTTCGAGGTGGTCATACCACTGCTCCTCATCTTCCAGCAATTCCCAGAACTCAAAGTAGTGGCTCCTGCCATAATCTATACACTCTTTCCGGACTCTTTCGTGGTAAATCTGGCACTCAAACAACTACCCCAACGTGACGCGATTTTTGACTTAAGTTAGACCTACCTGTTCACTGACGGCCCTAAAGAGACACGTTTCATCGTAGGCTACATTCTTCCTGTACAGTCCTATGCAGTCCAGCCAGCTATCGACGGAAGCAGGGTTGCGGCCCTTTTTGGATTTCGTAGACATTTTGTTGGGAAAACTTGCTATGTGGAAACTCGCGGGAAACCAATTAGTTGATCTTCATGGTAGCTGCGTGGTGCGGGGTTGAATGGACGGGAATTATTTTTTCTAGGAGATCATGAATTGGGGGTTTGGAAAGGATATTTACTACCCTCAAGCCAAGCACGTGTTCGACTGTTGTTTCGAAAAACTGCTAAAAAACTAGTCGCTGGTAGTTGGCATGCGCAGTGCTCAGTGCACTTGGTGCAAGAAGTGAGACGCACTCTAATAATAAAGGTACGGGTAGTTCGTTATTTTTTATTTTTTTGACGGGCGAAGGAGATGGTTTTACGATAAAGTAGTGGAGGAGGGATGGGGCAGGTTTGGAAGGCTTCGTTTAAAAAGGTAAGTAAATAAAAGTTTTTTCGTTTATTTTTAAAGTACGATTTATAAGTAAGTTCACAATTGAAAATGATGCTTTATGGGTCAGAATTATTCTTTAGAATTTGTACTTTGATGAGCTGAATTGTTTCTTCGTGAATTTTCATGAAACACAGGGGCGACTCGTGACCTTTCAGTTCGGCATTACTGTAAAATGTCGCCATTCCAAGTGTAAGTGACCATAAATGTAGGATTTAAATATGTTGTGCAAGCATTTGTAAATAAAAACATTTTGTTAAACTACAAGTGATATCAACACAGTGCATATTTTATTTAATCATTTTGGGAGATGACGTCATCTGTATGTTGAAGGAGGTGGATTAAAATTGTATCTGGAAATTGATCAAGTTTGCTGACGTTGACACTTGTATTTTTTAAATTTGTGTACGTTCGGTTTCGGTCGATTTGATTTTTAATGAAAATCTGCTAAATACGTATATAATAAAGTAAATATGAATAAAATCCGCATATTCTGAAATAAAAAAGAACTTTTTCTTGTAAGGAAAAGTGAAAAAATTACAACTAACCAAAGGTAATTAAAAATATGTATAAATAATAGTTGGCGTGTATTGCCGGAAATATCCTAAGTTTCTGCAACAAAGTATCCATTTTTTGATGATTTGACGTAAACAAGATTTCTGAATTTTTCCCTTATTAGTTGTTCGACGTCTTTGTCGTCCTTTTGTCTTGTTGTATTTACTATGATTGATATGTTGCTTATGATGTGTATAATGTGTTGCCTACACGAAAGTATTTAGGCGCGAACAGAAAATAATTACTCCGTAAGCACAGATTACGGATACCAGATGGTTCACTTGTGGGCGTAACTGTCCGCAACTTTTCCGTGCGCATGACACTAAAATTGGTTCAGCACTTTTAAATCTCTTTGAAACTGGTTCGACAGATTAACACGCAAAATAATATTTACAATGAAGCAGATATAAGAATAAAAGTTTAGGTAATAATTCAGGGAATAAATAACATACAAGGATTAATTTCTACGTTTTTTGGTTACGAAGGGATTTTTTAAAAGTTTTAAAATAATCAGAAAATTAGTTAAATAAATACCTACCTGCATTAAACTGTATTGTAGTATCGTTTAGTAAATATATCTTGTCTATAATGCCTGATTTTGTAAATGAATAAGAGAGTAAAACATTTTCCCTTCTTTTCCTTTAAACTCGTTTCAGTCATTTACGGACAAACTATTTGTCAACTGTTTAACAACAAAGTTCAGAAAGGCAAGCGCAGCAAATTTCATTAACTATTCCCTCCAATTCTTCTAACTTTCGGTAACCCTTTAAGCCGTATAGTTAAAGAGGTTACGTTTATTCACCATGCAAAAATTTTAACACCACTTTCTTGTTAGCACTATATTCGAAAGTCCGTGTTTTTTATGCTCTAAAATTTTTTAATGCCGATGCATGTGTCCGCAATTCTTTTCAGAGGAAATTGTGAAATGTTAAGCATTTGTAATAATCATAAATCATTTTGTGTAAACCAAAAAAGTATTTTGTTCGTTTTTTCTTCACTTAGAACCTCATCCCTTGCATCGTCGCTGTAATTTTTCTCTGACCGCCGCGCTTTTAAATTCAAAGCTTGCGAACCAATTTTGGTAGAGCGTGCGTAGTAGCGTGAATACCGCTTGAAATCTCGGGACACCGACTTCAAAGTGCCGACAGCTGAGTGAACTATCTGGTATCCGTAATCTGTGCCGTAAGACGATATTTATGCAACCCAACATACACGCTTGCATTTTTTTTTTTTTTTTGAACGCGTGGCAAAGAATTTTGGCGAATAAAAAGAATATAAATATAAAAAAAAACACTAGGACAAGTTATCACCCGATAACATGTTTCTGTTTTACAGCATAAACTCTCCCTCTTTGTGAATCCAAATCCTCAATTTGTTTTACTGAAATGCCAGCCAGAGGCGTAGCGACTAGCGAGATCTTAAGTTGGGGGGTACAAACAGTTTTGCTAACTTTGCATAAAAAACATTAAGTCACTCGGTACTTGGTCAATTTAATAATTTTTTTAATCGTGGATTTTATGTAGTCAGTTTATTGAATTTTGTTGAATTGCACTCTAATGAACATTCTATTAATTTTCTCGTATTCGTTACACCAGGTTTGGGCAAAAGCTGAGTTTAATAACAAGTTGAGGAGTAAAGAAAGAAGTACTATTGTCGATAGAATTGTAGATGTTGCAAAAATTTTCCAACAAAAAATTTAAATTATGTTTATTTTAGTCACAAAATTTGTATTAAAGTAAACAATAGTCTAGATTTCTGAGCATAAGTTTCGTATGTGAACACAGGAAATTGACATTTTTATTGCTTCTACGAATCATTTGTTAGCTCCAAATGTCGTTTTAAATGTAACCCCAGACAGTTTTGTCAGAACTATGGAGTGCACGGCATCAGATACAAACTTTAGAATTCCTTATCTCTCACTTTTTTGGATACTCCTTATACCCACCCAACTTATCAGTTAAAATAGGTATTAAATAAATAAAACCGTCAGTTTAAATTACAATTTATTGAAGCACCATTTCATGCAAATTTATTTTCGTAAGTAAATACTATCGATTCACCTACAAAATAAGTACAAAATAAATCAAGATAATATAATATTAGTATCAAAGTTCATAAGAAATAAGCTAAAGTATAATTACATACATACTCAGTATCATCTTTATAAATATGTGTGGTATATAAAAGTATAAAATAATACAAAAATTGGCATGTAATTATCCGCCAATGCGATGGTTGGAGCGTCTAGGCGCTCTTCTCCTGGTCGATAATTTCCTTGGTAGGTAAAGGATTCTTCTCGCAGGTTTCGGCGTGTCGGAGCTTGCTACTGTCGAAATTTTCGATCCCCGAAATCAACTGTCTTTGGCCTTTCTCCTGTTCGATCACTACGAAAAAAACAACTCCTATATAACCCGAGTATCAGTGTACTTAAAGCCGTGATATCCCTCTACTAACTTCCTTTCTTCGGTTTCAGCGGAAGTTACATCAACGATTTTTTCGTTGTTAAGTTAATAGAAGCATACAGGGCAGTGACAAACTGAACAACAAAACCCAGCTTTAATAAAACCATTAGTACAAACAGGATGCGGGTGTGGCAATCTTACTCAGAAACAAACATACATCACACAGTATTTAAGCACAAAAAAATAACAAGCAAAAAGTGCGACCTACCTTGGTTATCAGGCAAAATAATTTTTTCTGCGGTCTGCGTATGCTTCATAGACGCTTTGTCAAAGTGTTCCACGCCGTTTAGGAGGTTAAGATGGTTTTTTTCTTGCAGCACGACTATCATGCAAAAGCAAGCGATTAAATTCATGCATTTTGTAACAAATTATAAAAAATATTATTATTTAAAAAAAATACAAAACAGTGCCACGTCGGTGTTTCCTGCTACGATATGTTAAACACACTCATGCTCTAACTAGGTTGAATTATTTGTCCCGGTTTTCGTATCTTATTTAAATGATGTGTTAAAAATTGCAGAGCACGAATTATTCACTTCTTGCATATAACACGGTTTCGGCTTACCATCTTTGTTAGGAAGAGGATTTTTCTCTTGGGTTTCGGTATGTTTGAGCTTGGTTTGGTCGAAGTGTTCAATGCCTGCGATTAAAGCTTTTTCCGTTTTCTCCGCTGCTACATCTGAAAAGTATCAGTTTAACTTGAGTAAAAAAAGTCCGAGTTGGTTGATCGATCGCGATGGTATTATTTTGTTAGCGATAAGCATGAAACAATCCTTTTATCAACGGGCGGAAATCCGGCGACTTCGACTATTAGAAGCTTGCTGATAACAGTACACCCATTTCGAACACACCTCTGACTCGTCTTGTTTCGGTTTGGCGACACTTGTCAAGTGACGTCACGATCCGATGGACCAAGACGCGACAAATGCGTTAAATTTCGACGGCTGCGTGAACACCTTTTTTTAAGAATGCTATTTACAAAGCACACAAAAGCAGGTTTCGCCGATGGCTCGATTATTATTAATATATTTTTTAAATTGTTCTTGCGCATATGTTTGGTCGTTATGCAACGTAGTCGGTCAAGTTTGAATTTATTAATTATAATGAGTCACTACACACAAAATACCATGGGTGTGAAATTTACGCGAAAGGCCATTAACTGCAATTAAATAATTTACTTTTAAATTATCGCGAGTCTTTTTATACCATATAAGGTCGATAACTTCTAATCCTGATTAACAAGTAGATTGGTTACTAGCACATTATCTCTGTTTTAATGGTTGGTTTCCGTCCTGGAAGTATTTTCTTTATGTTTGCCTTCACTTTCTTATCTCTTTTTTGTGAACCCATATTTCAAGCGGTCAGAATATCGAAATTTAAAAACAACTAATTAGTTTGGTTTTATGGCAAGTTATTAAAATAAACATGTATGAATATGTAGGCTGCATTTGCCAGATGTGTCTTAAAAACAAATTGTCTGAATAACGATAATGATAAAATTGCTTAACGACATCTGCTCCATCATTGAATTGTCTTTCATGGACTCCATATGTGCATACAGGGCTTGCAAATTATAGGCGATATTGTCTAATTAAATATTTATTTATCGTCTAATTCGCACCGTGAAGAGGCCGCCATTAGGTAAATCTCGGGTTCTAACGAGTGAGCGATCAATCTTTCACTGAAAGGTTTCATGTTAATTAAGAAAATTATGTCAGAACTACAATGGAAAAGACGATTGCTACAAAACTAGGCAAACCATTTTCTGGACGTACACGCTAAATTTTTTCAAGTTTTTTTTTCACAATCAGTAAAGTTTGATTCGATTCTAGGGCAAGTTAATGTTTACGGCTCGTAAAACTCGTTCTTGCTTTTAACGAGTCATCCGAACGAAAGTGAACATCATCAAATATTGCTTTTGGCAATGTGGGCGCCAGCGCGGTTCAGATCGCTTGGAAATGGTGAAAATTCAACAATGGCCCCGACCCACGACAGGTCGTTTCCAAGAAACGTAACAGATTTCACCTACACCTCACGTAAATTTCCACTCCAAAATCACCAAGAAGAAATGTTAGCGACAAGCCACACGGTGGTTAGAAAGCGCCACCCCCAGCCACCCCCATTGGATTTACCTTGTGCGTTCGGTAACACGATCTTCTCTTTGGTATCTGTTCTTTTGAGCGAAGAGCACTTAAAGTTCTCTACTCCTGCGATCAGTGCGTTATGCGTGCGTTCCTGTGCCACATCTACATGCAAGAGTGTACAGTGTGTAAAGAAAATCAGTGACTACAAAAGAATAAAAGAAGGAAATTTCCAAAAGTGGAGCTACGTGGGAAGGACTGAGGAAAAACAGGTGTCAAGTAGCAACAATACAGTGGAGGCGATCAAATTCCACGCAAATTCGAGTTTATTAACTGGGCCTACGTCCTTTCCGAGATTGATGCGAATATTGACTTTTTCGCGGCGCAGTTGGGGGAAACTTTGGCACTTCGGAGCGCCGACGAACCGAAAGGCTATTTAGAGACAGACGCGACCAAGATAAATTACCTTCAGCGGAGGGAAGCACTATTTTCTCTTGTGTGTCTGCGTTCTTCAGATTCGTCGGTTTGAAGCCCTCGAGTTCGCTCTTGAGGTCGCCGGCCACACGGGGGAGGTCCTTCAGGGCTGGAGCGGGGACTGGGCACGACATCTACAATAAAAAAAATTAAATTCACAAAATCAAATCTTATAATTTATTTACTGTACTTAAATAATCTTAGACCAATTTTTTGATCAGCATCTTCACAGCTTTTCGATTTGCCGCTCATGTTTAAGCCGACGCTGAACTACACCGAAGCGGCGTGATTGATTGATACGTCACGATAGATTGACAATGCCTGTTTCGACGAGGCGGCAAAGCTTTTTTTTGTGTACATTTTTAAAACTGCACAAAATTCGTGGTGGTGTATTTTCGACATTGTGCAAGTACTTGACAATTTTAGCAGAGACACGAACTTGTCTTTTTCGCCCCAGAAATAGTCCGGTATGAGGTACGAGTACTGCATCCGCCCCGACTTAAGTAAAGCAGGCTGTCATACTTTTGGCGGGCTTTAATTAAATTCGCGTTTTTATCGAAATAAATTATCTATAAATAACTCAAGAGACAAGTATTTAACGCTCGCAACAATAAAAACAGGTTTTCGCGGCGCTGAAATCATCACCGAATAAGATTTACTTACCATCAGTGGGACAACGACATGAAGTCGATAAGAATTGTTTATTAGATATGGTAGTTTCAACACTGACATCACAATCAATAATAGAACAAAAGGCTGACTTATGAATCAAACCAATTGTATGTGTGACAACAACAATAATAAACTCGTGGTATCGCGTTCGGCGAAAACCGGTACAACCACAAAAATTAGCGCTTTTTATCAAACCAATAATTACAACATAAACATTAGCATGCACATGCTATTGACCCTCCCGAAGAACGAATTTTCGAGGTGTTTTAGTATTAGCTACGTCTTGCTTCCTGAATGAATCTGTTTTTTGGTCTGATGCACAAGCTGGTCCGTTATTTGGTCTGCTAACAAACTCCACCAAATCATTAATTTGTGTTAAAAGAGCGGAACCTAACCATAATTACCTATTACGGGTGACGTACCGGTATTAATTAAAATATTTCCATCAATGTTAGAATGTTTTTCATCACCGAGAAAGCAATTTTCGAGAGTTTATTGCATACTGGAAAACTTGGAGGTTGCTTCAATTATCTTAAAATAAATAGAAGAGTGAAGAGAATGTTTATGTGAAATAGTTAAAACTAAAATTAAAAGCACTGTTAGGCGAGTCGAAACTGTGGGAATGTTGTTAATTGCGCTCCTTTCCTCGCTGAATCTAAATAAAAACAATTTGCGGGCGTTGTGAGACTAACTGAATTCTGGGACCGAATAATGAAGACGAAGAATTGAGGAATTAGCAGGGTATTGGGTGGATCATTTCCGGTAAGGCTTTTTGCCACCATGACCGGTAAAATTACCCTATTAGGCCGTAGTCCAAGATAAATAGCCATTTGTAGTCAAACGTATCGAGCGATCGTAAAGATGAGTCAACAAAGTTCACAGTGGGCCATAACGAACTACACGATGCGAAATGCGTTTTTTAGTTCAGTGGAGCAATTAATCAATACACTAGAGAAATGCTATTCAATCACAGTTTAATTAGTTGTTGCACGAAATACGTTTACTATTTTCTTAATGACTATGCTTAATATTTCGATGAGGTTATGGTGATTTTTTTGTAATTTAATGTTACGTATAAAATTAACAATATTCTAGGTAAATCCATTTGTTATAAGTGTAAAAAAATAACATATGTATGCATAATTTAAAACTAAAAGAGGCAGTTCTATTACACTCGTTATACTCAGTGAAAGAAATAAAAAAATAATTACTATTCGGTTGCATATTTTGCAACGCTCGGCTTCGCCTCGCATCCACTTATGAGAAATTAATGTTATTTTAACTTCATAAAAACAAAGATCCAAACACTGGTCCAGTGAATTTAAAAATTCAGAGAAAATTAATATTAGCTATAATGAGTTTTTTTCTTTAATTTCAAAATAAATACTTCATCTTGAACACCAAAAAAATACTTACTTTTTGATTAGAATAATATTTACGGCGCCCGGATTCTTTGCAAAAAAAAGCTCAACTCCACCTCGATCTACTTACACCTCTTTTTTTATTTACTTAAGGACAAAGACCTTGGAAACCGTGTCTCAGCAACAAATATTAACAAAACATAATAACAATAAACTTGAAATTAAGCAATACTCATAATTGTTAACAATTTGATTTTATTTGCGAAATTAAAGATTACTTTATATGGAATGAAAAGAAAGCAACAAACCATTGTTCGGTTACAAAATCAGCAATTTATGTTACAGATTTAGCGAATTAATTTCTGTACGCTTGTAGAATGCTCTATTTTTTACTAAGAAAAACAAATGGCGTTCAGAACATTGATTTTGTAATATTGAGGAATTCAAAACAAATAAAAATTATGTCAATTCTGTTTTTCCAAATAATCCGTAACAATTGCAACTTTCGGGTTTTTGGATGTAATTTTATTCGCAAAATTAAAGAACACTCTTATGCAGGGTGATTCAAAAATGACGAAAAAGCTCGATTGTATGTTGTTAAAAAGGTTAAAAATTCCCTGGACGAAATTTTTGAAAATTTTAAGGTTCAAAGTTGAAGAATTAATTTGGTAATTCTGATATGTTTTAATTTGAATTTAGTTGACATGTTTCTTACATCTAGTGACCTGTGAAATTTAAAAATATAAAAACTTAGAATTGATTTGTCGAAAAAATTCAATAATAAATCGTAACTTTCAGTTCTTTAGCTTCCGAGTTGAATAATAATTATTCAAAATTTAATTCTGTTCGTCGAATTAAAGAACGTTCTTTATATTCAGTGGTGTAATTAAACTACTGTTCTATTACAAAAACAACGATTTATATTGCAGCGTTTGTGACGCTCGGCTTCGCCTCGCATCTGTTACCGAATTAATTTCTGTTCCATTAGAATGCTTAATTTTTTTACTAAGAAAAACGACGACCAAAACTCTGGTCCAGTAATAATAAAAAATTTAAAGCAAATTTTTAGGTTTTTTTTGTATTTTTTCTATATTAATGTATTTTTTAATTTTCTCTCTTCAAATTATTACTGTATTATAAAATCACACAAAGATAAAATTTCCATTACTGAACGAAAAAAATGTTGGCCTTGAAAATTTCGAATTTGAAAAATTCGTGTACGAGGCGCCACCGCAACCACAGCATCGTACAAACTAGCAATTTGAGGCTACCGGAGTGCGTAATTCCAGCTCCGACTCCACAAAAAACTGGAACAATACAGTTCACCTCGATAAACAAGATCAATCAAGATCCAGCGATCCTCGTTATCGGTAATCCGTCCGTTTCAGTAAACAATGAACGAAAGCAACCAACGAACAATGACCTAGACCTAGAACTTCGCCAAGAATAGACCATCAGATAAGGTCACCGCCGCTAAAATAGCGTGCTGAAAGTCGAAGTTTCCAGAATTCCGAGCACCACGAGATGTGAAATTTCATCGACTTTTTCATTTGTGGTGTCTACGCCTTATATGGAACGAGTTTACTCACTATCCTACGTCAAATAACCTCGTGCGAAACCGACCATATGTTTGTTGTCCCCTTTTTTTGGGCCAACAGCTGGTGCCGTTTTCGCCGAATTTTGCCCTTTCGCATGGGCGAAAATGGGTCCTGGTGAGTGCTCGCCCTCCGGGAACCCATTGTTCACGACGACGAGCCAACAGGTGACAGCCGCAATTGTCTCTGTATGATTCATTATTTAGAAAGTTTTTCTAATGCCAGCTTTGATTCGAACCCGTAAACAAGGGCGAGTCGAAGATGGTCCATAAAGATATCTAGATTAGGCGAAAATTTACACGGTTCCCAAGATGGAAGCGGAAACTCTGTTCCCAAATCGAAACAATAACAACGCGTTAGTGAAATGGAAATCGCTCATTAATTTCATCTACATAATGGGTGTAATTGGAATTCTTGAGGTCAGAGTACCAGTAAAAATTTTTGACGTGGAGTACCATGTGAAACGGCGATGGGGTACAGTAAGACCTTGACTCGATCTGCATTACAAAGAGCAACATATCATTGTTCGTTACTCTGCGAGAATTCAGATAAAAGAGGGCAGACTATACTTCACCTTTTGTTAATAATATGCAAGTCTTGTCGTGCCGTATCTTGTATCTATAATGTAGCCTTGTAACTGTTCCATTTGTCTATATTCATTTTCGTTATTAATCGACGTTGACTGCTGATTGATAAGTTGGAGGAGGCGAAAAAAAATTTGGGTGCTATCACTGTGAAAATATTTGTTTGCTTTGAACTGTATAGCAAAAATGGCCACGATAAGTGGTCGAACAAACAAAATAAGCAAACATTTGACTTGGTTTGTTCGAGTGGCGATACAATTTTTCAAAGAAACATTGGATATGATTCAGTGCAGCGACGATTCACTTGGAGCAAATATTTGAAACAGTTTTGATAATGTTACTAAGAATACTCTAACGTGGAATTTCCACTTATTACATATTCGTTAAAAAACGCCAGTGCCAAAATTATTTTGTAATTTTGGTGAATAGGGTTCACAAGACGAGTAGCAACCAAAGTTAATTGAAGCTTCTATAACAAAGTTTCTTCATAAAAACATTAATAATTTCGCTTGCAAAATTTCCTCTATTCAGCAAAGTAGAAACCTGCCTGAAAGAAACAAAGTATCTTGTCGATATTCACTAATTCCTGGTCTCTACTATAAGAAGCGAAGACCTCTTTGATGTCTAGTAAGAGACTCCTGTCAATCACTACCGTAAGTTGTCATTGTTGGTGACAAAACGAATTCTTTTGTAAGGTTGGTAATCGGATTATTCAAGAGTGACAGTTTATACGACAGTAAAGTATTTTTTCTAAAAACCTACCCTGAAACATTATAGGCAAATTGTCGCTTTATGAATAGTAGATGTTACCATAACTCCAAGCGGCAAATTTCCAGTGATAATTCCCTGTATATCAATTGTAGATAAGACAATAAAACAACGTTGTAAGCCCGTATGTGGGTCTTTGTATTTTACTTTTTATGCAATGTTGGGTGATCTGGAGGCATGTCACATAATTTATAATAACATTTGTACTTTATTACGTAGTATTAAATTTCACAATACGAACTTCAAATTCAATTAAGATTACAAATTTCTTCCGTATTTTAAGTTTTTCAACGAAATCGCATTTGACAACACACTCAAAATGACTTATCTAATACAGATATAATTTTATTTCCTTATAAAATTTTCCACTTAAACTTATGGTTTATGAATCCGTCTCGATTTTTTTAATTTACATGTGTTATAAAAAATATATAATTCATGGGTAGCTCTGACCAATACCCTAGACCAATATTTTATTTTAAGAACACTATTACTACATGGCTTTCATTAATAAGTAGGTCCTGCTTTTTGTTTTAAGTTGGTACTATTGACAGATTATCAACTTCAATTTGAAATTTGACGTTTCAACATTTTTTGTGATTTTATTCGAATTGTGTTAGTTCTCGGTACTTTTGATACATGTAATAAGTGTGGCTACAAATGTTTCACTTTTTTATTTGACATTTGACGTATTAGAATTTGAGGTTACTGTGCAGTGAAACGCAGGAAGTACCAACTGATTTTAAAAACCTATGACCTACTAGATACCAAACATTAATGACGTGCATTTAGCAATGTAAATGAAAATAAATTCTCTTTATTGCTCAAAAATTCGCGGAAACACGATTCGCACATGACACGGAACCGCATAATTGTGAATGTGTGTTAAAATGAGTGGAAAATTAAAAGTACGACAATTAAATTAAATTGCCATCAAATACTGAGTAAACATCATTAAACTTTTGATTATTCTTATATTAATATATCATGATTTTTTTAAATTATTATTATATTTTTTTTCAATCGGATTTGTTTCTAAGCCTAAAATTGTAATCACGCCTGATGTTGGTCATGCTGTTGACATTTATTGGTGAAATTAACGTCATACTAACCTAAAAAAGGCCCTAGAGACTGAAGAGTTGGCTGCCCTTCAAGTGAAAATTTAACTACATATTTTCAAATTTTTTTTTGTACATTTGTAAAAACCGATCAAATCGGTTAAACAAAAATAAGTAGATCATTAAAACAAATAAAACTTTTGTCTTCAAGTGGTTGATTTTTAAGTTACAACATTGAATGCAATACAATCTTTGTATGTGAGATAAGACCGGCAAACGCAGCTCTATATAAAATTAATTTTATTTTATTTATTAAAAGATGAACCATAAGCTGTACAATATAAATTCATTAAAGATTGAAAGTTCTTAAGTTGACCTTCATTTTTTGGTAAACATTGTGAATATGTCTAAATACGATAAACTTGATGACAGCTGACAACGCAGAATGGTACAACTTAACCTCACTTTTTCGTATAATGAAATTAACACTTTTCCAACGTCAATTATATACGTAAAAGCAACGTTGGTCTCCATTTTCCCTGAATTTTATGTGTATTCTTGGAGCTCTTTTCTTTCATTTTATATGACTTTTCCTCTTTAACACTACCGAACACACTTATGAAATACATATTGTAAAACGAAAAGCAATCAATTTTTTACATAGTCACTACCAGGCACCATTTTAGCATTTGTTTTTTTGGAGCTTGTGTAGGTACTATTTCTAGTCGGCACAACAGGGAACAATAAAAATGATCTAGTTTTGTTACGTCTTCAAACTTCCACAGATCTTCCATTAATCAATTTTACGTTTATTCAACAAATTTCGACCAAAAAAATCTGTTCCGCCATTTCATTCCATCGAAAAAATTGCAAAGAAAAATCCACCAAAATACAAGCATGATACGCAAGCGTAAAATCTACGGAAACATTTTATTTCAATAATATTTAATTGACAATACCAAAAACGTAGAAGTCGGCTTTTTGTGTATAAACACAGACCGACTGACGACAGAAGACACCATTTAAGTTCGATAATGTGGTAAGCCGTTTAACGGTTATTGTAAACGAAAACTTTGTTGGTGGTAACGGCTTCTGTAAATATTATGTAAAGATAACATCATTCATAAACTAATAATTTGATAAAGCTTTTTACTGCAAACAATTTAAATATATTGTTGCGTATTTCGTAAAAAGTTGTACGCATACAATAGTAGTTTTGTCGGAATTTTTTGCATATAAATCCGAGCTTTCATTGCAAAACATACACACCCCTGGAGGCAATCGTTCCTGCATTGTGTAACCCACAAGATAAACGAGTACTATAAGCACCGATTTATTTTTAAATGCGATCGTAATGAAGTGACAAATATTAAAACTGAGCCCCAACTCCCATTAAATCCACAACGAGAAAATAATTGCTTTTATTTGCGTGCCTGACACCGTTCTCCGCAACTAATCCGGAAAATCTCCAATCAATTATTATTAATCGGCGTGAGTCATTTTCTCGCGTTTTCCACTTTCTGCGATAACACAAAGCCCGGCAATAAAATCATGCACAATTTTAACTCCGACTCCGACTTCTCCGGACAACAAAAATAACAGATAGCGCTTCCCTGCATGCATAATGACCTCAACTGATTAACATTCCACGTAGTTTGAAACAACCTGCAGACGAAAGTAAACAACGACGTTTCAGCTCGGCATTCTCAGGATCGCGCAACGCACAAGAAACGGTTCATTCGTCCTACAGGACACCCACGACTCGATCAGCCCACCAAAGAAAAGAGTCGAGAGGCAAGGTTGAATTGATATCAGGAAAAGTAGGTTATGGTTGCAACGGCACGAACATCTTCCACTGCGGAAGGAAGAACGAAAGTTCCGAAGAAAATTTGAATTTTATTCAAATTGGCGTCAGCGCTTGGAAGATTTTCTAATAAATTAACGCCAGCAATTAAATCTGCTCGGTGGAGTTGGAGCTTCATGGAAGGGTAATTCTGGATTTAATAAGCATGAAGACGAATCGAGACGGCTGTGAAGAGGAGGGTAGCGAAGCTGAGCAGCGAAATCGATAAGTTTTAAATAAATTATTCGCTAATTGGCACGTCCGACGACTCATAAAAAGCGCAATTAAGATGTACGGACAGTTATTAGGATTGTAATGATGAAGACATGGAAAATGTAAAATGGCCGTGTCTAGACTGAATCATTCTAAGTACTTTATATTGCAGGCGAGTGGCACCTGTTTCCTCCAACATTTCCGGCGATACAACATCCTTAAGTAACGTACTTTCGTTTTCCACTCTTTTCACACAAAAAATAATCCGAAAATTTGTTCAACGTCATCTAGTCGAAAAGTTCCAGCGCTAGCGCAACAACAAATTTAAACCGTTCAAAAACCACCCGAATTAAAACATTTCCACGTAAAATTTTCGTTTCTTTATCGTCTGTAAATATTCCCTTTTCGATAAAAACCGGCAATAAAAAATCCGACGATGATAATGAAAGACTTGGTGAGTTCGATTCCGACAACCGCACCCTAATTCGAACGGCTGTCGTTTCCGAGGGTGAGACAACATTTTAAGATGGGTGGTGGCGACGGCGGCGGCCGAAACGTGTTCCTACCTTGAGTATGTTGTAATTGAGGAGTTTGCGGAAAAACGCCTAGAAGACTGGGTTTGGTGATAAATCGAGAGCCGGTTCGAGCACTAGCAAGCAGTCGCGTCGACGTCGAACGTTGCACTTGGAATGGAGACTTGGGGAGAATGGGACATTCGATGGCGATGCGCAAACGATGGCTTGCAGTGGGGAGAGGGCGGTCGTCGGGGGACGGTGTGAGTCATCGGGGCTACGGCGAGACGTCATCAAAAGGATTACGCGGATGTGTAATGCGAGTTGTAGGGGTTGGATTTGGATGTGCGAGACGGTTAAGAGGAAACACATGGTGGAGGATTATTGTGGACGAATCGGGTTGGAGAGAGACGTGATACTGATTTTGCTGTAATGCCGACGATTAGCTGTTGATTTTCTCGGGATATGCATAATTTGGTGTTTCGCAGGGGTCGACGGTAGGCAACCAGGCGATATGTTTGGAATGACAAGTACTGAATTTGACTACTAAATGCAGTATAAATTTATTTTACAGCAAAGATGTAACAAAACTTTTAAGCAGATGAGGAAAAAGTGCGATTTCAAACAATCAAGAAACTACAAAAATAATCGTACGAGAACAAAACTGTACTTTCGTAAAAACAGTTTGCTCCAAAAACGTAAAAAATGAGATTTTTATTAAAAGCAACCAGAGCAAGTAAAGTTACTTCAAATTTCGGCCAAATTTTTGACATTTTCGAAACTTAACTAAACACATTTTCTTGTTGATTTCGAGCTCTAGAACTCACTTCCGGCTTCGTTCCTTTCATAACTGCAACCGTTTTCCCGGAATCGGCCGTTGAAATATGGAAATTTTTAGAAATCCCCAAAAATTCGCATTTCATACCGATTCTAGCGAAAATTCTGCTCCGCGACCTTAAACATTCTATATTTTTGGAATCAGCAAGTCGAAATCTACATCCCTGATTTTTTTCAGAATTTTTAGACAACTTTTTTAAAAGTGAAATTTTTCCAATGGTCCCCCCTTCTTCAAATTTCGGCCAAATTTTGACATTTTCGAAACTTAACCAAACACATTTTCTTGTAGATCTCGAGCTCTAGAACTCACATTCGGCCTCGTTCCTTTGATAACTTCAAGCGTTTTTCCGGAATCGACCGTTGAAATATCGAAATTTTTAGAAATTCCCAAAAATTCGCATTTCATACCGATTCTAGCGAAAATTCTGCTCCGTGACCTTAAACATTCTATATTTTTGGAATCAGCATGTCGAAATCTATATCCCTGAATTTCTTCAGAATTTTTAGACAACTTTTTTAAAAGTGAAATTTTTCCAATGGTCCCCCCTTCTTCAAATTTCGGCCAAATTTTGACATTTTCGAAACTTAACTAAACACATTTTCTTGTAGATCTCTAGCTCTAGAACTCACATTCGGCCTCGTTCCTTTGATAACTTCAACAGTTTTTTCGGAATCGACCGTTGAAATATCGAAATTTTTAGAAATGCCCAAAAATTCGCATTTCATACGGATTCCAGCGAAAATTCTGCTCCGTGACCTTAAACATTTTATATTTTTGGAATCAGCATGTGGAGATCTACATCCCTGAATTTTTTCGCAATTTTTAGACAACTTATTTAAAAGTGAAATTTTTCCAATGGTCCCCCCTTCTTCAAATTTCGGCCAAATTTTTGACATTTTCGAAACTTAACTAAACACATTTTCTTGTAGATCTCTAGCTCTAGAACTCACATTCGGCCTCGTTTGATAACTTCAACAGTTTTTTCGGAATCGACCGTTGAAATATCGAAATTTTTAGAAATCCCCAAAAATTCGCATTTCATACGGATTCCAGCGAAAATTCTGCTCCGTGACCTTAAACATTTTATATTTTTGGAATCAGCATGTGGAGATCTACATCCCTGAATTTTTTCGCAATTTTTAGACAACTTTTTTAAAAGTGAAATTTTTCCAATGGTCCCCCCTTCTTCAAATTTCGGCCAAATTTTGACATTTTCGAAACTTAATTAAATACATTTTCTTGTAGTTTTCGAGCTCGAGAACTCACTTCCGGCATTGTTTCTTCGATAAGTGCAACCGTTTTTCCGGAATCGACCGTTGAAATATCGAAATTTTTCGAAGTTTTCAAAAATTCGCATTTCATACCGATTCTAGCGAAAATTCTGCTCCGCGACCTTAAACATTCTATATATTTGGAATCAGCAAGTGGAAATCTACATCCCTGAATTTTTTCGCAATTTTTAGACAACTTTTTTAAAATTGAAATTTTTCCAATGGTCCCCCCTTCTTCAAATTTCGGCCAAATTTTGACATTTTCGAAAGTTAACTAAACACATTTTCTTGTAGACCTCGAGCTCTAGAACTCACATTCGGCCTCGTTCCTTTGATAACTTCAAGCGTTTTTCCGGAATCGACCGTTGAATGTCGAAATTTTTAGAAATTCTCAAAAATTCGCTTTTCCTGCCGATTCTAGAGAAAATTCTGCTCCGTGACCTTAAACATTTTATATTTTTGGAATCAGCATGTGGAGATCTACATCCCTGAATTTTTTCGCAATTTTTAGACAACTTTTTTAAAAGTGAAATTTTTCCAATGGTCCCCCCTTCTTCAAATTTCGGCCAAATTTTGACATTTTCGAAACTTAACTAAACACATTTTCTTGTAGATCTCGAGCTCTAGAACTCACATTCGGCTCCGTTCCGTTGATAACTTCAACCGTTTTTCCGGAATCGACCGTTGAAATATCGAAATTTTTAGAAATTCCCAAATATTCGCATTTCATACCGATTCTTTTGAAAATCTTGCTCCGTGACCTTAAACATTCTATATTTTTGAAATCAGCAAGTGGAAATCTACATCCCTGGATTTTTTCGCAATTTTTAGACAACTTTTTTAAAAGTGAAATTTTTCCAATGGTCCCCCCTTCTTCAAAATTTCGGCCAAATTTTGACATTTTCGAAAGTTAACTAAACACATTTTCTTGTAGATCTCGAGCTCTAGAATTCACTTTCGGCCTCGTTCCGTTGATAATTTCAACCATTTTTCCGGAATCGACCGTTGAAATATCGAAACTTTTAGAAATCCCCTAAAAATTCGCATTTCATACCGATTCTAGCGAAAATTCTGCTCCGTGACCTTAAACATTCTATATTTTTGGAATCAGCATGTCGAAATCTATGTCCCTGAATTTTTTCAGAATTTTTAGACAACTTTTTTAAAAGTGAATTTTTTCCCTTCTTCAAATTTCGGCCAAATTTTGACATTTTCGAAACTTAACTAAAAACATTTTCTTGTAGATCTCGAGCTCTAGAGCTCACTTTCGGCATCGTTTATTTGATTACTTCAATCGTTTTGCCGGAATCGATCGTTAAAATATCGAAATTTTTAGAAATTCAAAAAAATTCGCATTTCATACCGATTCTAGCGAAAATCTTGCTCCGTAACCATCAACACACTATATTTTTGGAATAAGCATGTTGAGATCTACGTGCCTGAATTTTTTCGCAATTTTTAGACCACTTTTCCAAAATCGTGGGTTCGGTTAATAGAGGTTATACTGTGGAAAATCACAAATTTTCCCCTCTTGTAAACTCAATAGTGAATATACTGTATATTTTTTAAATTAGATGTAGTTATTAAAGACTAAACGAAATGGGTATTGTTAGGTTAAACCACGAAAAATCACAAATTATAAACACAACTAGGATTGTTTTTTCCTTCTAAAATTACAAGTGGACTGGTCTGGACACTTACGTCTCTAGTGCGCCATTTTATTAGTTTCTTCTTTTGAAAATATTTTCACTCCATCTGCCAATCAATCAAAAATTTTTAAATGGGCTAATTAAAATAATAAGAGTAAAAATTAATTTGTCTCATGATAAATGAGAACACAGAAAAACTAAAATAAAACAATAAGAAATATTGGAAGACGCAGTTCGGCCAAAAACAAATTGCGCAAATTGTTCCATGCTGGCTGAACAGTTATTTATAAAAACAAAATTTAACTGGATTAGAGATTAGATACAAGTTCCAAAGCAACAAAATAGATTTATATGGGTAGATAAAAATGTGCATAAGAGGCAATAAACCAAAACAGTGAATCTCGAAATAGAATATTTTACTTGGCTTATCACAAAAATTAAAAACTGAAAACTAAGATTACCAAGGTTTGAGTGACAAAACTGGTCTCGTTTTTAATAATAATAACGTAAGCGCCGCAAAATATATAAGTGGAAGTTTATAAAATTTGAAAATATAAATGTTCCTACAACTTATACACTTTATCTTGATTCCACGTTAATTTAGAGTTTCTACAAATTGATTACAAATCAGCTACCGTTTACAATCATAATATAATATTAATACAGAATTTTCTAATCCTATTTTTCCGCAAATTCGTCTATATTTAACTTTGGTGATAACGCAATGCAGCTATCGGAAAATACTAGAAAAATCGATAAAATTTAATATGCATACAGTTTAATAAACTGCATTTATTACGTTTTATTATGAGATCAAAGTGATTTAGATTTCTGTACTATACAGCTGCATGATGTTAAGCAACCAACTTAACAACCAGATGGTCAATGATGCTAGCAGATTTAATTGAAACTCTCTGAATTTTCCACAACCTTATTTGCTTATAAATGATCACATTTTTCGCTATTATTTTATAACACAAGTAATAAGTATGTATTTGGTCCGTGAGAAGCAGGTTTGCGACACTTATTTAGAGGGAGTACTCGTGAATAATAATAAAAAAAAAAACAACGACGCCAAGTCCATAGTAAAGGACAGGCAGGGAGTCGGGGATAGTAAACAATGACACGTTCTGTATCTAGAACCTTTGTCAAATTCCAGTAGAAACAACATAGTTACAATTATAAGCTTAAATATGAATAACATATACATATTAACAAAACTTATAAATTTAATTGCCACGTGTAGCACATAATGGGTCCAGAATCGTATTTTTAACATTTTACATGTAAAAACAGATTTTTTTCAATACCATAAGGCGCTTGTACATAACGGGTTGCTCTAAAATAACTAGAGGAACCAATATTTTCAAATTTCCGTTTTAACATGTAAAATCCCCATGTTCAAAAAACAATGCTACACTCGTTATGAATAGATTACTCATGTTTTGTTTGATTGTTTCAACTGCAAATAATCAATCAATAATCGCACAAATAAACTCAAAGACAAACAATTGGCATTATTACAAAGATAAAGTAGTTTACAAAGAAACATTATGACATCCTTGGTGGGATCTATCAAGTGTCGAGAATAAAAAAAAACTTATCACATCAAAACATCAATTATCGAGCGCCGAGCCGACTACCTTGATGGAAGTCAGTGAACGAATTTTTTTCATTCTAGCCATTCCGTCCACATCTACGTCATCTGATCAATGCGGCAAGACGAACTTTTAATGAAATATATTTGTTTACAAAAATGTTTACTTTCACTTCATTCATCCACAGCAATCACAAAAAATTATAAGAAAAATAAGTAGCAGCTGCACACCCAACAGATGGATGAATATATTATTGCTAGGTGCGCAATATTCGCAAGTCGAATTCTACATTCATAGGAAACAATGATACATTAGTTCCGGTATAGCATACGCAAGTTTTTCTACAACCGTCTAGATTTAATGAATATTTTTGTAGCTTCGTGGCAGGTAAGTAGATGTACCTTGAAATGGTGAATCACTTTACATTGTGAATCCGTATCACCGCATGCTCGGAAACCACGGAAAACACACCCACACATACCTTCCGTAAGGTATGCAACCAATCACACTCTATCAGTATGAGTCATCAATCACGTGATGTTCCTAATACTGTTTCACTTTTTCAACTACATGTATGACATTACAATTACGAATATCTTCCACACTCTCAAAAAAAAACCAACATATATATATATAGCAACTATTTATAACTGGTCACTAAAATGGTTACTTCCAATTAATGCGGACAAATGTAATATCCTTTATTTAGGCAGCGACAATCCAAAGCAAACTTATTATATCAACGGCACCGAGCTTACCAAGTGTGTTTCTTTGTCGGATATGGGTGTTATCGTAACGTCTACTTTGACATGGTCTGAACATATCACAAAAGTCGTGAAAAAAGCCAACAAGATACTATATCTTCTCGGAAAGACATTTGCTAAAGCTGATGTAAATACTGTAACTAAACTGTATAAAACTTATGTTAGACCGATATTAGAATATGCCAACTGCGTTTGGGTTCCAACATTACAACGTGATATCAATTTACTAGAATCTGTCCAGCGTCGTGCCACAAGAATACCGTACGGACAAGTGCGCCCCTCTTACCCTGACAGACTTAATCTTATGAAATTGCCATCGTTAGCCGACAGGCGTGTAAGAGGTGACATGTTGACAACATTTCAGGCTTTTACAAATATTAGTTCACCTATCAGACATCTTTTTCCTGTCAACATTGATGGACGAACCAGAGGTCACCGGTTCAAATTGGAGAAGGACAATTTTCGGACTTCCATTCGTCAGACGTTCGTCACTAACAGGGTATTCACCGAATGGAATGCATTACCCCCTGAAGTTGTTGAAAGTGCTTCCGTTCCTAGATTTAAGGTCAACTACGACACCTTTCGAAACCGTAGATAGTTGTAGTTATATCCATAATTTATTATATTTTAAATAATTTGTGATTGCATCAATTGTCGTCTTGCGCGGGCATAACAGACTTCGGTCTCTGCCCGAGCGCTTCATTTTAATAATAATAATAATAATAATAACATATTTTAACTAATACTAATAATAACACCGTTTACAACTAGTTCCCAAATAAATATTAGAAGTTAATATTCTTATTCCCTTAACATTGTTTTCAAAAATGAAAAAATACATACAATGTCCACACTATTATTAAGAGTAAACAACAAATTTTCTGTTTATTTATTACAACTTTTAAACAACTTAACACAATGTATAATAATCTGTTCTTATTAATCAATAAAATTTACACATACTGAAAAAAAAAAGATCTACAATACATTTATTTGTAACTTGGTTACAGTTTATTCTCAAAGCCCTTAAATTAATTAAAATCGTCTCAAAAGCCAGAACCCATAAAAATGCGTAGTTCAAATATTTGGGGTGGTCTTTCGTCACTGTTTGCAGTGGCGTGAAACACTTTACTTTTCGTTGTTTTGGCCATTTTAAAAGATAAATTTCAAAATTTACACCACTGGTCGGGAAGTTTCGCGATGCTGTCGGTGTCAAAGCAAAATCTGCTGTGTGGTTTTACCGGCAAAAACCAAAAGGCATTTGCACAACACTTCCTTATTCACAAACAATAATAAATCTTGAAAAAACAGCGTTGACGGCACGAACGTGCGCCCGATTAACAATGGTCTCGAATTTAACGATAATTACAATACACAAAACAATGCTAATAATATTAATAATGCAATCATGCTTACCTTTACTGCAGGTACTTTAACTGTGCTGGCGCAAAAGCTCACAAAATCTGGTTTTCTCTTCTCCGACGTGAGCACACTGGACAAATCGCGCGTTTGTCTTCGTACTTAAAGCATCACAAAACCAACGAACTTCTCAGTTACGTATCGTCGCGCGTTTCCATTTCTGAAAAGATCAAATACCCTCCATTACTTCACTGATAAACCCCGCATCTCATTTGATTATGAATTAAGTGGCCACTAGCTGCGTAACTTTGATAACTCTTCTAATCGATGCCCATTTTACTAATCCTGCTGAGTACTAATTTTTAAACACTGAGACAAAAACACAAATTTTTATTACTAAATTTAATCATTAAACAAAATTTGTCAAATTGCACATTGTTCTGACTGAATGAGTTACAAACATGTAAGGTTCGAAATAAAGCAACATTTAACTTAAAAAAAAAGAGATTAAATTTTTTATGAATAATTAGCATAAAAAACAATCTGGTTTTGGCAAGTGGATATATATTTCTACATTTAATTAGAAATAATACCAGTGCAAGTTTAAAAAAAAAAAAAACTATAATTACTGTCTTTAAGACCTTCTAGCAATGCCCCAACCCATTAATACAAAGCAGCTTTTCCGTATCTGTATGAGCATCTCAAAAATCTAAAGAGTGTTCCTTAGATCACTACTTAACCAGGGCACTACTATCAGTTAACAAGTCGCGTTTGGCAATGTCTGTCTATGGCAACTCTTAAAAAGTTTCTAAAAAAATAAAATAAAAATCTAATAATATCTATTTATCTTTGGCTTCACTCTTTAAGTTTTTGATATGCTTCGCCTACCTACGTAATAAATTAAATTTATTCTGTACACTAAATTTCTTCTGTACACCTAACAAGAAATCGCATCTAAGCCGTGAAAACCCTTACTACATTACTGACTTTTCGTTGGCATATGGGACATCGTTTGACCGACTTCCACGTGCGCATAGCGCATGTGTAACAACAGCACATATGAGCTATGCGTCCATGTAAGAAAACACTATTTTTCGGCTTTACGTTACACACAATACAATCCTCTTTTAACTCGGGTAGAGGACCCTTTACTGGCTCATCTTTAGTCCTTGCCGACTCACTAACCACGTTATCCTTCTTGTCGTCGCTCTTCTCTTCTACCTTCTTCTCTTCTACCTTCCCTTTCTCTTCCTTCGTCGTCTTGGCTTGCTTTCGGGGTCTCTTGGCTTCGTACTCGTCCGACAGGCTACTCTCGGAGAATTGGCGTTTGCGGCTCTTCACTTCTTCTTCTGGTTCTGGTTCTGGTAAGCTGGTGGAGGGTTTTTCCGAGCTCGGAACGACGATCTGGTCTAAGCAGAGCGAGCCGAACTCTTGGCTGGAGCTAATGCCGGAGTCTTGAGAAGACAGTCCGTTGAGGCAGGACTGTAATACGTCTAATTTCACCGGCAAAAGGGGCTTTTCCGTGTTCTGTTCTGCCTTTTTGCGGCGTCTGGGTCGGGGGGGAAATATCGCCTTGCGATCCTGTGGGGCAAACATAACATGAAATATGGCTATAAATGAACAGAGTGGTCCAGATGGCTCAACTCTGCTGCATCCTCACATCTATGGCTCTAGAGCGTAATTGGCGTGTCAATGGAATGTTATCACTGGCCAATTTGAGCAAAAACTGCACCCGTGGCTCTGGTTGTTTATGTGCTTGGCGTGTGATAGACCCTGAACGTTCTTCCCCAAAATAAGCACATTTCACTACCAGAAATTGTGTCTTCAGTTACTACAGCACACGGTTTGGAATTGATTTTTGAAATCGTTCATTTCTTCACTGCTCGTTTTATTAACAGTTCGGTCTGTTTATTGATTATAAGTGTTCATTTAATTTTATTAGGTTCAACCCATCTTACTGAACTTTTGGTTTTTTCATAGTTTTTGTTTTGTTTTATGTAATACCCATACCTCTCACGTAACGGTAGGAATATTCCCACTTATAAAAAAATTGTGTTTTACTTATAACTGACAGTTGTGTTGTATACGGTCATTACAACCATTTAGTTACATTCTTCTTTCATGTCATTTATTACAAAATCATTTTAGAGTTCATTGATCAGTCTTGGAAGTTCAGTATTGTACAGTTTTCTTGTTAACCAGAATCAGCTCTTAATAGGTACTTCAAGCTATTGTAGGACCAGTTAGGGATTTGTGCAATACATAACACATACACTGTAAAATTAGCATGCATGTTTCACATAAAAATAATCACGAAAATGTTCCCACCAATAAATAAATTTGATTAGTAATTAGTAAATACGACCTATGTCTAAAAAGAGTCTACAGAAACAAAGGTAGTCTGGAAAGTAAGGCATACTTGACCACAGAAGTATAAAAGACTTAGAAATTAAAAAAAAAGTTAGAATTGACAACACGACACTTACAGAGCAGAATTACCAATTGCAGTTTTAAACTACTTCTATATCTAACTCTCATTTTTTTGCTAAAACATCTATTATTAAAAAATGAAAGAAAAACGACCAATAGGGAATTATTTTTAAATTAATTTAGACGAACTATGACGTCACATACACTTGAAAAGAAATGAATTATTGTGTGTTTGTTCTCACGTGCACAAGAATGTTTAAAGTCGCCGAGTTAACATTTTTTTTTGAAGAACTTTCACCTAAATAATAATAATAATAATAACCAGTAGGGACCCAAAAAATGAGTAAGTTTTAAACAGAAAGATATATGCATGTATATTTTTTTCTTTACGTAGATAGAATTCCAGGATTTCCCAAAACCTCTCCCATGTGTTAACGTGAAATTTTCAACAAATTTGCACTTTTTTTTTTTGTTTTCAAGTTAGTTTTTGTTAGTAATCCAGGTAATAGTGGGGCTCCTATGTAGAAAGGAAGCACGAATCTGGTATAATGTGTTAGGTTAGAAGAATCAGTGACCATTACCCCTGTAATACCATGCTGTAGGCTGTAGGAAACACAATCAAAACAGCAACATGAATGAAAAATATTTGACCATCGTGAAAACTTGTAACGGCTTTTCCTTACATATATTACAATATAATTATATAAAAATAATAATAAAAAAAAATCTTACCAATCAACCCTAGAAAAGGAAAACCAACCCACTCACAAGTCTGTGATAAAATAATGGAAAAAAAAATTACCTGAACACTGTTCTTCACCACCCATTACAAGCAAAATTTACATTGCCTAATAATTGTCCTGTTAAGACATTCTTCCATAACTTTGACTTTAAACTGACACTTTTATATAGTTCGTAAGCAGTCTTTGCACACACCACGGTTACCATTCACTTAAGTGTTTATCTAGTCTATCACAATGCTACTGCAGATCTGCATGACGCTGTGGCAATTGTCGTGAACATTAAAACGTGCTTTTGTCACTGACCACGTTTTTTTTTTTAAACATCTTCAAATGAATTTGAAAAATAAACATATCAAAAAAAATTACATGAACATAAAATTCGTTGGCAATAAAAAAGTGACCCGAGTCTGAAAGTATTAGAACAAAGTAAAACTCGGACTAACCCATTTACATATTCTGATTATTTTGTTTCGTATTGCGTTCATTGTTGTCCCAAGACAATCAGCCTCATATCAACTTTGTAAATGCAAATGACACATTTTACAACATCCCGTCATCAACTTAAAGTACGTCTGCGACGTAGAAATCGCCAGGTGCAGCACATGCAAATCTACAGCACACATGACACTGATAACTACCTGAAAACATTTCTCGCAAAACCTATATTGCGGATGATCATTTTGGGATTTGCACTGTATACAAGTCCAGTAATCCGTCGGACCCGTGTTTGAGTCGTCCTGCATGCTGTTGTCCGAATCCTCGGCGTCGGTTACGAAAGTTTCGAACGAGCTGTCGGCGACCATGGCTGCTGCATATATCATGTCCTGAAGATTTAATAGATAATTGATAATCAATATGCGTTCTAGATGCGCAAGTTTTCTTTCAAATTTAGTCCCTGAAGATGAAACGGCAAATTTTCATTGTGAAAGTGGATATGTTGCGTGTTTCAACACGAATGGTGATTAGGGGGGATAAACAAAGACAAACGTATCAGCTGGAGAGGAATTCCAGCCACCGTGTTATTGAGTTCACTTATCTTAAGCTATTTATAAATCTATATCAGACATAATTAAGATAAAATGGTCGGTTTTGGATTTGTTGTCACATGAGGTGGTGCGAAGCGCCTAAAGAAATACCAAGAATGAATTTAAAAAAAAATCAGTAAAGAATAACAAGAAAACCCAACCATAAAAATAATGATTACGACGATGTTCTGTCGTGTTAAGATCATATCTAACAAATAGATTCTTTTATAATGGAGAACACAATGACTTGCTACCCATTTACTCTGGCGTCCCACAAGGAAGCGTAGTCCACAAGGTACTTACTATATTCTCCTGATACCGGATGGATTAAAACAGCTACATTCACAGAAGACATTGTTATGACGTCCTCACACCTGAACCGAAACACTGCTTCAAGAAAACTGCAACTCCACCTAGATCAAACATAACCAGGTCTTAAATATTCGAGAACGAAAGTAAATCAGCTCATTGTTTTCACCGCAAAAAGACAATTGTCAACCTGTGGTGTTAAATTTTCAACAATGAAATCAAGACATTTGGGAAACTTAACTTTCATGAAAAGGAAACAATAAAATACACCCCGAACTATACAGGAATTCTCAACCGACAATCAGTAATAAACTTGAAACCAATCTGGACATATGGCATTCAGCTTTGAAGTCATCCAAACTGATTTAAAGTGTTACCAACGGAAGATGAAATTATCAGGTTTAGTTCACAGTATCACGACAGTCAGAAATCACCAAAACGAATGCAACATATCAACTAAAATGCCTAAAAATATCCAAACCATCAGAACCATCAACTAGACTTATTATTTAATTTGTCGTCTTTCTCGTAAATACCTATAGTATTTGTCATCGCTATAAACATAATAATAATTGTTATGGGTAATTTGGCAATAAATCAATGGTCAATAATCCACTTAAGTAGAGAATCCCATAGTTGTGAGTAAAAAGTTTCGAGTTTTACAAAAGAAAATACGATACTATTAAAAAACATTCTAATGACGTCACAACATGGCGCCAGAAGCGTTGAAAAAGAATTGCTTTTAAATTTTTTACAATTTTTACCTCGGCGGTAAATTCTTTAGAGAAGCGTACCAGGATGACTTGAGGTCGAGATTTTTTTAAGTAATGAAGTAATTTGAATTATCAAAATACCTTCACCGAAACCTTCAGGGGCGTGACCTTACCAAACTAACCTTGCTACCCATTATTAACATAACCTAACTAACCTCGGATTCCCCAGATGAGTCGAAAATGATCACGTCTCTTTCGTCGTCAGACGCAGAGACACTCTCAATTTCATACTCGATGTCTACTAAGTGGTATTCAGATGTATTTGACGACGTGTCCGAAGTGTCCCTCACAACGTCTGGAAATAATTCATTATTCACCCATCCAACCCCAACCTGATCGGGATCCTACCAGTTTCTTTATCCTGCACGCTATAAACACTCTCGGTGTCGTCTGCACTAGCAGCCGAGCTCTCACTTTCTAGCCGAAAAAAATAACGAATAGCCCCTTTTTCAGTTTTATTCTGAGCAGGAGAGTCAAGATCGAAACTGCTCTTTCGCCAAGGCACTGAAAACAAACAACGGCTGCTAGTACCAGGCCTTTAAATCGGATAATTAAGGTCAAAGCATTGTTGAAGCAATGCGTAGACGTGGATTTATCGCATTATGGATGTTTTTTCAAATTACTTACTTGTGCTTGTTGACATTATATGCGAATTTTTGGAAATAACACACGTTTCGCACAGTTTTCGCACTTGATGTGACCTAGCCTTGCCCACTTTAAACTTGTACAAACTTGCGTGCTTTTCCACGAAGCCCCGGAAATACCATACAACGGATGTCAACACGCTTGCGCGGGAACGCCGCCCGTTTGAAACCGACAGGGCTGCCAACGTGGCAAAGCCAAACGGACTCTCCTTATTTTTTGTATACAAATAGTTGTTTTGTTGACTTTGCAAAAAAAGTGTTTTTTCCGAGAAAAAGGTTTAAATTAAAAACATAATTTACGAAAATAATTTATCATTTATCATAATCATTATGAAAACGTATTTAAATATGTTTGAGTAACAATGTAAAGATAACTAACTAGAGGGCATCTAGAGGGATAAATAAAATACAATAATTTTTTCTGCTGCTGTTCGTTCATCGCAGCATTTCACTTGCAATGGATCCCACCCGTTTTGTTGTTTAATAAATAATTCAGAGATCTAAAAGGAATACATACTGTGTCCTGTAATTGGGTTCCCCACCCGTGGACACTATGCATTAATAATAATAATACATATCAAGTACACTTTTTTTGGCCTTTTTTTCTGCCGCAATTTTGTTGTCTTTTTTATGGCTTTCTCTTGTCGTTTTCCAACGCCTTTTTTACGTTTTTTGTCAGTTTTTCGCCCCTTTTCCTCTTTTTTGTTTTTTTTGTCGTATTTTGATTTCCTTTATCAGTTAAGTCTTCTTTCGCCTTTTCTTTTTGTTTTATTCTAGCCTTGTTTTTCGTATTTTAGTGAACTTTTTTGGACACCTGTTGTCTGTCTTTTTTTCTCGCCTACTTATTTGAATCCCTATCACCTATGTTTGTCATATTCTTTGTTTTTTTTTTCAATTTTTGTTGCCACTAATTGTTCCCCTTCTATCTTTTTTCGTCGTTTTTTTTGACCGTTTTCATTATTCTTTTTTAAATGCATTGTTTTGGCCTTTTTACACTTTTTGACGACTTTTTAAGGTCTTTTTCCAATTTTTCGGGGCGATTTTTTGTCGCCTTTTTTTCGTTTATTTTGTGTCTTTTTTATTTTTTTTTCTCTCTTTCTCTTAATTCGTATTTTTTGTCAGTTTTATTGTCGCATTGTTTTTATCGCGCATTTTCGTCGTCTTTTTTTTAACCCTTTCTTATCCTCTTGCTTACCATCTTTTTTTTTACGTCTGCTTCTTTGTCGTTTTTATTGTATCTTCTCGCCTTTTTTTTTTCGTTTTTTTATCGATCTTTTCTTTTGTAGTTTCATTCACTCGTTTTTTTCGCTGCCTGTTTTTGTTGCGTTTTTTATATCGTTTTTTGTGGCATTTTTTTTTATCCTTTCCAAAAAGTTAATGACGCAGCTTTTTAGCTGTAGTTCAACAATCCACACATACTCTTATTTTAACCTATTTTCTGTTTGAAGTAAAAATGAAAGAAATGAAATTCTCAATATAAAATTCAATAATTTTCTAAGAAATTGAATTTGCTTGATGGTACTTAAGGAAAGTCATTGCACATTGTCCTTACAATGATGGACTTGATATTAATGGATACTTAACAATAATGTTGTAAAAAAATAAAAACATCAATCCAAGGTGTATTGATTGGGGATGAAATGTGTTCTCTTTACGCAACTCCCTCTGCAAGCGTGGAAGTGAAAGCTGTTCATGAACGAATTTTCCGCGTTTTTCCGTCTGTTTACTTTTATTTAGATTTTACGACTTGTTTGCTTAAAAAAAACGTTATCTCGCATAAGAAGGCGCCATTACCTAATTCTAACGCAATCACAAGCTATCAAACAGCCGTTTGCCTCTTTCCGCCTGTCAAAGAATTCGTATCGGCAGGTTGGCAGCGCATTGACAGCTCTGACAGCCTGACAGCCATGTTCTAAAACAGTTTTTTGAAGAAAGAAGAAACAAAACCGAAAAATCAATTTGATGCCAAACAGAAACAAATTAATATGCCGTTAGCAAATTCGGTTGAGCCATGGCAAATTCAACACGCCGATACCGAGGTTAGTTCCGTTGCGACATCGCCGAAACAACAATTTTAGCCATCTGTCATACCTCTGGAAAAGTGTTTTTACTTCCACTTTTAATTTTACGTAGCACGCGTAGCCAGATTTTTATGATTTATAACGAGTTTATTCATTTGCAGCTTTTGGAGTGTCCAGGTCCCTAAGAATAGTGTCTGTACGTAAAATACTTACGTTTTTGCAACTCTCTGTCGTTGCACGAAAAAGCACCAGTTTAACTTTAAGTTGCATGTAGTTCGACGATTAGCCTCTTAGGTGACACTATCCTGTTCCTTTTTTAGCCCGGAGTGTGTAGTTGAGAGTTAGAAGTAGAAGTGCTTTTTGCATACTACTAGTTGCTTTATTTTGGATACACAACCTGTTCTGATTTAAACTCGTTTTTTGTTTTGTTAAACACGACCAGTGCTGGGCATGTCACCGCCTTTCCTTTGACATGTACCTATCATGGAACTCCAAGCTCTACATGAACTCTTTTAAATTAATTATAAACATACATGACTCGGTAGTTTATTAACAGATTAACATAGATAAGTATAAATGCTTTATTTTGTTATGAAAAGTTAAAAATAACCTACTAACAGGGCATCACTAATATACAGGATGTTGCACTTAGACATCTCGATGATGACACAAAGAACATCCTGCATATACTCGCCAGATTTATTCATTGTTAACTGTTGTCTTTATAGTCTCAATCTGGAGATGCTGATGAAGCGGTTGGAGTGGACGAAGCGGCTGCAGCCGAAGGCGAGCATGAGTTTGAGTTGGGGGAGGTAATATGAAACTACCCATCTTTCTCATTCATGTATTTTTTAACATATAAATCTGTATTAGTTGGTTCGAAATGGCCACGATAAGGCCGACCCTTCGCAATTTGAGCTGCTTAAAGTATTGGGAGAGGGTTCGTTCGGCAAGGTCTTCCTTGTACGCAAGGTGGTGGGGACGGATGGCGGGAAACTCTACGCCATGAAGGTTCTAAAGAAGGCTACTCTGAAAGTCCGGGATCGTCATCGCACTAAAATGGAACGAAACATTCTGGTGGACGTGGAGCATCCTTTTATTGTTAAACTTCATTACGCGTTCCAAACGGCCGGTAAATTGTATCTTATTTTGGATTTTCTGAGAGGAGGGGATTTATTTTCGAGGCTTAGTAAAGAAGTAAGTATTAGAAAATCTGCTGTCTGTAATAACAAACACATAATTTATTCGCCGCTTTACCTTGTCTTGAATCCTTAAAATCGAACGTTCTGAAATCTTACAGATGGTTTAAAATTATCATAAGCATGGTAAATTTTTAATGAAAACATGCTTATACCCTCAAGCTATTGACGCCACTTCAAAATCCTGTAACTTTGTTGTTGCTAACTACAAAAAAAAATACGACAATGCCGGAAAACATTGTAGAACGCACTTTCAAACTTAAATTGAAATATTGAATATCTGTTTAAAAAAAAAATATTTCCAATAATATCTAACCAGAGCAGTTAAAAAAAAGTAGAGTGAAAATACTGTGGGAAGAACATCTTAAATTATCACGCAGGCTTGGACCAATGGCGTATCATTTGCGTATTCAAATTGGGCTAATATTAAAAAATACGTTATACGTTACTAAAGACTTGAATGAAAAACTTAAACTACGAACAGACGCAACGAAACACGAAGTAATGAGTTTCCTCCCCCAAAATTCGCAAATAGACCCACCCGGAAGCCTCTAGATCTAGTGAGTCGTTTTATTTGTGTGTTCTTCTCAAACTAGTTCCAATCAAATTTTAAATATTCCCATTGTCCTAAATATATATTCGTAAAGTAAATATTAAATAGACGCAATTTTTCTAGGTGATGTTCACCGAAGAAGACGTGAAGTTTTACTTGGCGGAGTTGGCGTTGGCTTTAAACCATTTACATAGTTTAGGAATTATTTATAGAGATTTAAAACCTGAGAACGTTTTACTGGATGCTGATGGACACATCGCGTTGACTGATTTCGGACTGTCCAAGTTACCTTTAGAGGAGGGAAAGGCGTATAGTTTTTGCGGAACGGTATGATTAAAAAAAAAATCGTGTTTTTCTCTTAAAGTTGTACTTTGAAGGTTGAATACATGGCCCCAGAAGTGGTAAACAGAAAAGGTCATTCTTTTGCCGCTGACTGGTGGTCGTTCGGGGTTTTAATGTTTGAAATGCTGACTGGAAGTTTACCTTTTCAAGGTGCCAATAGGAGAGATACCATGACACAAATATTAAAGGCAAAGTTAGGAATGCCTGCTAATCTTAGTCCTGAAGCACAAAGTCTTTTGAGAGCTCTCTTTAAACGAAATCCTGCGAATCGCCTTGGGGCTGGCCCTGGCGGCGTGGAGGTAAGAATTCGGGACGAAATTTAATTAATCTAGTCCATCGTGCACTATTTCCAGGATATGAAAAAGCACGAATTTTTTGCCACAATCGATTTCGAAGCCCTTCTTGCCAAAAAAATTAGACCGCCGTTTCAGCCAGCGGTGTGCGGACCAGACGACGCATATTTTGATTCGGAATTTACTAGTAAAACTCCGCGGGATTCTCCCGGAGTTCCAGCAAGTGCCAATGCTCACGAACTTTTTAGAGGGTAAATCCAGCGTCTTTGATCTGTACGTTCTACTTTTTCCTGTTTAGGTTCAGTTTTGTTGCACCATGTCTGTTAGAGAACGGCAACGTTCCGAAAAAAGTTACGACCGAAACTCCTTTCAAGATGATGCGAACCGTGGAACGAAATTTCTTTGACGACTACGTACTTTTAGATCGGTTGGGCGCCGGAAGTTATAGTGTTTGCAAGCTGGCGCGGCACAAGGCGACGGGACAACAGTATGCGGTTAAGGTAAATCGAAATTGAATAAAAAGCATCTAACAACGTTTGCAACTTAATGTTAAAAAAAAATAAGTTGGCAATACCGACAGGTTCCTGGGTCAGTTTAACAATTACGGTGACCTACTCAGATCTGCGCCGCCTACGGTCGTAATATTTATGTCGAATTGTATTGTTGAAACTGCTTCTGCTAAGCTCAAAAATTCCTTGACGGAACAAAAAAGTGTGGTTTTTAAACGTGTCAAAGCTAGCAAAATGTATCAATCTCAAAAGAAAATAATGTTACTTAAATTTTATAAAATTAGAAAGAACGTGCTATATTTAACATAATTCAAATAGTAAAGTGTAAAAATACGAACACATTACAAAATTTTTGGCAAAAATCAAAATTGTACAACATGCCTTGAAATTTTGCGAACGTTTGATGGTTTTCGGAAGCAAAAGTGACAGTTCTGAACTTGTGGTTTATGAATAGGTGTTGAATTTTTAACCGAGACAACGAGAGTTTTGGAAAAAAAAATCAAAATTGTCGATTTAACAATTTTTGGAGATCTCAATTTTTCGAATATTCAGTTTTTAAACTTTTGGATTCGTCGATTTTTCAACTTTCGATTTTTCGATTACTCAATTTCTCCATTCTACAAATGTACGATTTCTCGATTTCTTCATTTTTCGTTTTCCCGATTTCTTCATTTTTCGATTTCTTCATGTTTCGATTTCTCGATCTCTTCATTTTTCTTTTTTAATAATAATGAAAAAACTTTCAGAGTTTAAAAATATATATTTGTAGTCACTGCTACACGTGTTTCGGTACACAGTACCGTCTTCAGGCAGAAGAGAAACTGGGGTTTTACAGAGCTATTCCTGAATTTATACCTGATATAAATGAGGTATAAATTCAGGAATAGCTCTGTAAAACCCCAGTTTCTCTTCTGCCTGAAGACGGTACTGTGTACCGAAACACGTGTAGCAGTGACTACGAATCTATTATTTAAACTCTGAAAGTTTTTTCATTATTATTAAAATTAATATGGAGTTTAAACACGTATCAGCCTCATCAATACAAACAAATCTTCATTTTTCGTTTTCTGGCGCTTCTAAATTTTCAATTTTTGGATTTCTCGACTTTTCAATGTTCCGATTTTTCAGTTTTTCAATTATTCTTCAATTTTTCGATGTTTTTAATTGTAGATTTTTCAATTTTTCGAATTTTTAAATTTTAGATTGCCTAATGGTTTTTTGTAGTTTCAATTTCTTGATCAGCTGTATTTAAAATTTTTGGTTTTTCAATTTTTAATTTTATTGGATTTTTCAGTTTTTTGATTTTTTTATTGTTCCATTTCCCAATTTTTCGTCATTTCAGTTTTGGAATTTTTCAATTTTCGGATTTTTCATTTTTTCGATTCTTTAATTTTCCGTTTATTCAATTTTTGCGAATTTTTAAATTTTGGATCATCAGTTTCCCAGTTTTTCGATTTTTTGATGTTTGGATTTATCGATTTTCAATTTTTTGAAATTTTAATCTTTCGATTTTTTAAATGTTAGGTTTTTGACCTCCCGATTTCTCGGTTTTTCGGTTTTCTTGATTTTTCGATTTTTCAATTTTCGGTTTTGCCATTTTTTGATATTTCCACTTTTCGATTTCTCGATTTTTCCATTTTTCGCTTTCTCAATTTTCAGATGTTTCAGTTTTACGATTTTTCAATTTTTCAGTTTTTGACCTTTCCATATTTCAATTCCTGGATTAATCAATTTTTTGATTTTCCCATTTCTCAATTTCTCGACTTTTCAATGTTTCGATTTCTAAATTTTTCGATGTTTCAGTTTCGGGATGTTTGAATTTTTCGATTTTTAAATTTTTGAATTTTTCGGCTTTCTGGTGTTTCGATTTCTCGATTTCTCAATTTTTCTATTTTTTCGAAATTTTAATTTTTCAGTTTTTTAAATGTTAGGTCTTTTGACTTCCCAATTTCTTGATTTTTCGGGTTTTTTGATTTTTTCATTTTTCGATTTCTCAATTTTCACATGTTTCAGTTTTACGATTTTTCAATTTTTCAGTTTTTCTTTTCAAATCTTCAATTTTTGGATTTCTCAATTTCTCGACTTATTAATGTTTCGATTTCTCAGTTTTTCAATTCTTCAATTTTTGGATTTTTCAGGATTTCGATTTTTTACTTTTTCGATTTTTTCGAATTTTTAAATTTTAGATTACCTAGTTTTTTGTAGTTTCAATTTCTCTATCTTTCTATATTTAAAATTTTTGGTTTTTCAATTTTTCAATTTTTTTATTGTTCAATTTTTCGATTTTCAACTTTTCGATTTTAGTCTATTTTAATTTTTTGATGTTTCGATTTGTCAAAATTTTCGATTTCTCAATTTTTCAATTTCCCAATTTTTCAATTTCCCAATTTTTCAGTTTTCCGTTTCTCAATTTTTGCGAATTTTTAAATTTTGGATTTTCAGTTTCAGTTTTTCGATTTTTCAAGTTTCAATTTTTCGAAATTTTGATTTTACAGTTTTTTAAATGTTAGGTCTTTCGACTTCCGGATTTCTCGATTTTTCGATTTTCTTGATTTCTCAACTTCTGGATTAATCAATTTTTTCATTTTCCCATTTCTCGACTTTTCAATGTTTCGATTTTTCAGTTTTCCGTTTCTCAATTTTTGCGAATTTTTAAATTTTGGATTTTCACTTTCAGTTTTTCGATTTTTCAAGTTTCAATTTTTCGAAATTTTGATTTTACAGTTTTTTAAATGTTAGGTCTTTCGACTTCCGGATTTCTCGATTTTTCGGTTTTCTTGATTTTTTCATTTTTCAATTTCTCAATTTTCAGATGTTTCGGTTTTACGATCTTTCAATTTTTGGCCTTCCCAAATCTTCAATTTTTGAATTTCTCAACTTCTGGATTAATCAATTTTTTCATTTTCCCATTTCTCGACTTTTCAATGTTTCGATTTCTCAATTTTTCGATGTTTCAGTTTTGAGATTTTTCAAATTTTCGTCGATTTTTCGACCTTCGGATTTCTCGATCTTTCGACTTTTACATTTTAGATTTGCGATATTTCGGTTTTTTGGTGTTTCGATTTCTCGATGTTTCAGTTTTACGATTTTACAATTTTTCAATTTTTGATCTTTCCAAATCTTCAATTTTTGGATTTCTCAATTTCTGGATTAATCAATTTTTTGATTTTCCCATTTCTCAATTTCTCGACTTATTAATGTTTCGATTTCTCAGTTTTTCAATTCTTCAATTTTTGGATTTTTCAGGATTTCGATTCCTCAATTTTTCGAAGTCTCAGTTTTGGGATTTTTCAGGATTTCGATTTTTTACTTTTTCAATTTTTTCGAATTTTTAAATTTTAGATTACCTAGTTTTTTGTAGTTTCAATTTCTCTATCTTTCTATATTTAAAATTTTTGGTTTTTCAATTTTTCAATTTTTTTATTGTTCAATTTTTCGATTTTCAACTTTTCGATTTTAGTCTATTTTAATTTTTTGATGTTTCGATTTGTCAAAATTTTCGATTTCTCAATTTTTCAATTTCCCAATTTTTCAATTTCCCAATTTTTCAGTTTTCCGTTTCTCAATTTTTGCGAATTTTTAAATTTTGGATTTTCACTTTCAGTTTTTCGATTTTTCAAGTTTCAATTTTTCGAAATTTTGATTTTACAGTTTTTTAAATGTTAGGTCTTTCGACTTCCGGATTTCTCGATTTTTCGGTTTTCTTGATTTTTTCATTTTTCAATTTCTCAATTTTCAGATGTTTCGGTTTTACGATCTTTCAATTTTTGGCCTTCCCAAATCTTCAATTTTTGAATTTCTCAACTTCTGGATTAATCAATTTTTTCATTTTCCCTTTTCTCGACTTTTCAATGTTTCGATTTCTCAATTTTTCGATATTTCAGTTTTGAGACTTTTCAAATTTTCGTCGATTTTTCGACCTTCGGATTTCTCGATCTTTCGACTTTTACATTTTAGATTTGCGATATTTCGGTTTTTTGGTGTTTCGATTTCTCGATGTTTCAGTTTTACGATTTTTCAATTTTTCAATTTTTGATCTTTCCAAATCTTCAATTTTTGGATTTCTCAATTTCTGGATTAATCAATTTTTTGATTTTCCCATTTCCCAATTTCTCGACTTTTCAATGTTTCGATTCAGTTTTTCAATTCTTCCATTTTTTGATTTTTCAGGATTTCGATGTTTCAGTTTTTGGATTTTTCAATTTTTCGATTTTTCAAATTTTGTCCGATTTTTCGACTTTCGGATTTCTCGATTTTTCAATTTTTTTTATTCGGTTTCTTGATTTTTCAATTTTTCAAAATTTTAATTTTTCAGTTTTTTAAATTTAGGTTTTTCGACTTCTCGATTTTTCAATTTTAATCTTTCGATTTTTTTGATGTTTCAATTTCTTATTCGTTTTTTAAAAGGTGTCTACTTTTTGATTTCTCCATTTTTCAAGTTTTCGTCTTTCAATTTTTCAACTTTTTCAGTTTTGGAAACTTCCCAATTTGGTTTTTTTTTTCAGTTTTTCGATTTTTAAAATTTTCAATCTTTCAGTTTTTCGAAAAACGTTTTTTCCCGTTGGTTGCCTGCTTTAATATATTTCATATTGTCCGCACTTGTACGGACTGCATACCTTTGGAATGTACGCGGGCTATGGAAGTATTATTTAGGTCACTGGTTTTGCGGGATTTGTTGGGGTGCATTCCAGGGGCGAGGGAAGTTCTCTCGAAATAACCTTTGACAAATTTTTTTCATTTTCTACATGAAGATTTTTTAATTGACCCACAAAATTTGCATATTTTTGCAACATTGTTCTCTTTAATGTTCAATTGAGAACTCTGCAATGGCACCTAAGATTTTTTTACTTTTAAAATTTTTAATTTAATGTTTATATTAACCTTAGATCAAATACTTTCAAGTATGTCTCTAAAAATTCTAAAATTCGGAATAGAAAAATACCAATTATAACGTAAATTAATACAAATTTAGAAGGCAAACATTTTGAACAACTTTCATCCACTTCGCACGCCTCGAAATCACTGGGAATTTCAAAAAACGAGCCAGTTTTTGCTCCACATACAAAATGTTTTTTGTAAATTTTCAAAATTAAAATTAGCAGAATCAATTAATTATCCCCCTAGGTTCTTTCAAATGGCGTGTAGATGATATTGTAAAATTTAACAATAAACCTAAAAATGAGGTAAACCGTACGCGTTTTTTAGATAATAAACAGAACCCAGTGCGATTGCCGCGAAGAAGTTGAAATTCTGATGCGGTACGGTCACCACCCCGGTATTGTCAGTTTGAAGGGAGTTTACGAAGAAGCTGGTAAAATATACCTCGTTCTACAACTTCTACGAGGCGGAGACTTGTTGGATTACATGATGGCAAAAGTATGCAATTTTAAAACCAAACTACTTTGGTGTTCAGTATATAATTCTAGAAACACCTAACGGAACAAGAAGCGGCGGCCATCTTGAAAACTCTAGCCACCACAGTGGCATATCTACACGAAAATGGAGTGGTCCACAGGGATTTAAAACCAGCAAATATTTTGTTTGCCTCAGAAGACTGCACACCTGATAGTGTGACAATCTGTGATATGGGTTTTGCCAAACAGGTGCGGCAACCGTGACCTGTGTATTACTTTTTTTTTACAAATTTACGTTATAGTTAAGAGCAGACAACGGCCTTTTAATGACTCCATGTTACACGGCGAATTTCGTGGCTCCCGAAGTACTGAAACGCCAAGGCTACGACGCCGCCTGCGACATCTGGTCCCTCGGTGTGATCCTCTACATAATGTTGTCCGGCAGATGCCCCTTCAGCACCGCCCCCAACGACAGCCCTCAGCGCATCCTCCAAAGAATCAGCTCGGGAAAGCTCGACTTACACGTAAGCGCCTCCACCGACCTTCCAATTACTCCAACTCGGTGTTACAGAACGGCCGTTGGAGCAGCGTCTCCCAGGAAGCCAAGATGCTGGTGACCGACATGCTGCACATCGGGCCGCAGCGCCGCCCCACGGCGGCCCAACTAGTCAAGCATTCGTGGCTGGCGGCGGCGACACCGGCGCTGTACCACACCCAAACACTGCAAGCGAACACCAGCCAGAACGCGGCGCCGGACCAGACGGGGGCGCACCTGAAGGAGACGGTGGCGGCCACGTTCAGGGCCATCGCGACGTCGCCGCAGGTGGCGCACCTGGGGCCGGTGGCCATGTCGGAGTTGGCGCGGAGGCGCTTTCGGGATAAAGCGCTGAGCAGGGTCCAGCAGAGTTCATAATGTTCGGTCAATTATTAGGTTATGTGCAATTGATCCGTTGGAGGCGAGGTCCGCCCGAGTTTGAGTTTTCATTTTTTTTATATCATTTTTGTGAGTCGAAATAAATTAGAGCGTTGCATATCATTTTTGTTTTTGCGAGAGTAGTGGGGCGGGCCGGGTTTTATTTCCTGGATAGTGGTAGGTGCGGAGTGGCGGTGACGTCACAGGGCTTTGATTGGTCGAAAGTTGGTGAGAAGGTGTGACGTCGGCGGCATTGCGCACCTACTACGTACTACGTAATTCATTGTTTAATTACTGATCGATGGTCCTATTTGTGAAACAAGTTGAGCGGAAGTATTTATGTGTTGAAAATGATTAGATCCTACGACGTAACGCGTCAATTTTTTATTGTGTGTGTATATAGGGTAGAGAGAGACTTGTTGCCATATTGTTCGTTCCTCAAAGGTGTATTGTTTATATGAATATTGCATATCAGTGTTAAAGTTATAGTATTTTTACGATGAGGGTCTATTATACAGAGTAGTAGTTGCTCTAAGTTGGTTAACATTAATTCCTACTCTAGAGTTCTAGCATTTATGTGGCTAATTTAGTTAAGTATTAATTAACGTTGGACGGCATTTGTCACACTGGTGAGTTTCAGTAAAGTTGCATCTGTTTGTTTTAAACCAAAGACTGCGTTCGCTGGATATATATTTGTAGGTAGGTATTTTATTCGGAAAATATAAACGGTGTAGTAAGTTCGATTCATTCCCAGCTTTGCAAAGATACGCAAGATGTTGCTTTAGATGTCGCTTTTGACTGTTTATTTAGAGGATTTTTGCGGACTCCCGCACAACTAATCAAACGTTATTTTCCTCGCTACAAACACTTTGGTTACTCAAGAATGCCTTAACAGTCATGTATTTCAATTTTGCAGCTCCTTCATTTCAGTATTATTATTATTCACTCTGAAAGCATCACATTGCCATGATCTTCTGCTCTAAACATACCTAAAACAATCAGTAAGAAATACTCCTATTTTTGTATTTACAAAACAGAGGAATGGCATATCTAGAAACCATACTTGTTTTTACTTTTTCATTAGGTTGAGGGCGAAACAACCCTGTTGTAACAATAGCGAAATGTTCATTAGCTAGGTAGTGACCTATTTATACGAAGTAACTTTTTTAAAACATGTGTAATCTTTCTCGTGATACAATAGGTGAAAATGTACATTGCTGAGGCCTATTTCTTGAAATTGTAACTATTTTAAGAATTCGATGTTAATGTTGAAAATGGTGAGTACCTCAATATATATATTTCCTTACTGAATTTATTTTATTATCAGTATCACTTGTACTAATAAAGTTTTGGAACGTTCATGTGTTTTTTTTTAATTTTACCATATTCCCATGCACCGGAAGTGTTAATTAATCTATGTGAATAATTTCGGGATATGCTAATTGCATATAATCCGCTCTCTAATAATAAGAGTATTTTGCAGTCTCCCAGGTCAAAGAAACGAAAAGCCGGTCCTGTTTCCCTGTCCGTCATGTGAATAATTTCCGACACTAACGAACCGATTTCCCTGAAATTTTAAGTGTATTTTAACATTATCGCCTAGATGCCAAAACACTAGAAAAATGAGACGTCATGTGTAAATACCTGTTACGCAAATATTGTTTTAAATCTGAGTATACACTCCACCATGTTCTTTGACCTATGGTTTTTACCGAATAAATATGGATTACGTATTTGTAATGTTTTTGTATTGAAGTTTGAGATTCAAGAAACAAATCAGGCAATAAAAAACCATCTCTTTCTATTTCGACAAGATAGACTTTAAATAACTGTATGATTAATTTGAATTATCGTCTTAACGAACCCATCTTACGTCACTGATATGCACTCTGCAAACTTCATCTGACTCAGATAAAAGTACTATTTATAATAAGCTGTTTGCTATTTATAAACGACGGTTCAGGAAATAAAATGAATCACGAAATTCGCTGATTTCAAATCGAATAAAATTTTCTCGGCAATATTGTCCACCTTGCCCAAGTGAGCGAACCGCTATTCGAGTTCCTCAAGCCCAGAAATGGACATACTTCACGCCTATTGCCCCCATAAGGGATAACCGATTCTGTCGCACTCAAAGTGTATATCAAAATGTCTGGCACGCAACTCCGGTCTGAGTTCCATCCAGAATATCTGCAGTTTTGCTGCAGTGCGCTGTCGTAAAGCGCAAGGTTTCCCTAAACCACCTGCTCTTGCACAACTTCGCGAATATTGCACTCGATGCAACAATTTAAATTTGTCTACGTGCTGCAACTAGATACGTTGTGCTATTTTAAGGCGCGAACACTAGGAATAATTACATTCCGGTAAACAGAAAGTCACGGTCTAGGTTGCATTAAAACGGATAGAATGTGAAATCGACTGCCAAATAATAAATAACAGTTTTATATGACTGGCCATTTGCCGAAGGTGTCTGATTTAAATCGACTCAAACTGCGATTTTATACGACTAGTTTATGATTCCAGACAGAATAATTCTTCGGGAGAGTTTTTGCGGCGGTCTACAATATATAGCTTCGCGAGATTTGAAATATTTACTGAACCGAGACGAATTTCCCGGATTTATAGTAGGTTCGAGGAAATTGTAAATGTTCGTCCCGTCAATGTATTGAAAGTTCAAAAGTTCTGTCAAAGTAGGATGATAATAAGAGTGACGTCACGCATTCAGCGCCAATTTTGAATTCGACCAACGTGACAAAACAAAACTGTAGTTTTTGTGGCACACATTCTACATCCGGTTCTAAACAAACACGACCTGATGTGTCTGCAGAACCATCCATCACGGAACACTTGCTGCCTGATTTATTGCAAATCCATCGAACGACACGCATGTCCGTAACGAGCTTTTAATGAATTCATAGACGACACATTTGCAGGTCAAGTCGTTTGTCAAACGCAAAAAGGGTCCACATATTAATTTTTTAATATGTAGACCCTTCGGCGGCGTGGTTTGACAAATGGAGCTGCTGTAAAAACGCATTAAAAGATTTCATAATAATAGTGTAATTTCACAAAACCATCTATGTTTTATTATTGAGCTAAAGAGACCACGTCTGGGCAATTTTCCGGGGGGGGGAATTTTTGATTGCGCCCCTTTTTGTTTCCTGTATAAATATGTAAAACTACATCCGCAAATAAACTTAACCTAATAAAAGAGAATATTGGTTTTCGGCCAAGCATCTTATTTGAGTATTTTTCAAGGCTCGTCGAAGCGAATGTAACATAATAAGAGATCACGAGGTTCGCTTTGAAGTCCGCCCGTGGAGATGCGTTCTGCATATGATAGCAAATCGAATCAGATGGCGGTTTATATTTTCTTATATACTGTAGAAAATTGACCACATTAGAAACGTGATTGGGGTTTTTTTGCAAAGGCATGCCCTCGAGGGACACACTACGCTCCGGAAGTTTGAATTTGGAATCGCGAAAACGACGACGAATACAACGTACATACGATTTAATCTCGTCCGGCGCTTTTAATGTTCAGTTTTGAGATGTCTGCAGATAATGACGACTCCGGGAAGTTGGGACTGCAAACATAAAACAATACAAGGATACTTGTTGCCAACTCGCATATCTTTGCATTCATGCTCGAGCTTCCCGTTAATTCGGAGACACCAGACGCGAGTCTGAGGCATCTCTTTTTAATGCGGCGCGATAATGGTTTGCATTTTCTTGAGTTGCGACGAAATTCGGTTTTTGGTTGGCGTCGCCTGAAAGAGATAAAGAAGTTTCGTTCCGTTCGCCCTTTTTTGCCGCTGTTGTCTAGCGAACACGTCGTGTCGATGTCGCTCTATAAAATCAATTCCACCAGTTACAAAAATCAGCAAGGAAACTCCATTATAAGGTATTCAGATCGCACCCCACGTGGATTAGGTCTGAAAGCCATCAAGTTCCCTAATAGTATGGAAATTGGAAATCACGCACGGATCTAACTTGTGTTTTATAGTTAATAAGACGCTGCTAATCTCATTCGAGTCCTATTGTTCGCTCTCTAGAAAATGGATCACTAATTACTATTCTGTATTTTGCAGCCGCACGACACTAAATTAACTGATACGTTCGAAGTTACAACGCCGGCTGGCGGGAAAGTTGTCAAGGATTCATGCATGAATACAACGGAGGAACCGCGTCTTGCTTCCCGCCGAATTCTGAAGATTTAATGTCGCCGTAGGCGGGATTATTGATTTCTAAAAACGCCGATTTCGACTGCATTAATATTTCGCAGTTGGCTCCAAGAGAGACGACGTGGGTGACACTCTGTATTATTAATTATATACTACTATAATCGCGTGACACCCTCTACACATTTTTATGTCAACAACACGCTGTCGCCACTCAGTACTTACTCGTAAAATTTGTCAATATGCGTAGATGGAAATCTCAAAAATTATGCTCACATGTCGCTCGGTTTGCTTTCATAATCGGTAATAAGCAATAAACAACCCTTTCTTTCGATAGCGGCACCGGCAAGATTAAAGGTGCATTTCCCCCGTTCTCGGTTGCTCAACATGTTATGAATTTGGCCCGGTAATTGAATTTAAAGCCACGGCGTGAAGACTCGGTGATCTCAGATCAAAGGCGCATTGTGGCCCGGCCCACCCCTTTACAACAGCCCTTTGAGACGGTCGCTCTTTGCATCTAACGCGGCAATATGTGAAGTACTCTTATCGAATAAACCCTCCTTATCTAATAAGATATGGCGAGTATGAGTATTACGTGTTCGTGGAACAGACTTTGCGGAAGTGGATGATTCCGGTCCATTGCAGACAAAATATACACAAATACGAAATGAAGTTAAAAGTGTTCTGGAGGGTGGTTTCGAGTGATAATGATACCAAGTTGAAACAACACAAAATATCGTTTCAGAGGTTTCGTAGATTTGTTATTCAATTTTTTTAATATAGTCAGCGCATTATCATATAAGGGTGCGGGATTACCTCGAATTAATATTATCTAAAGAGTAGATCAGCAAAAAGCACCTGGGCGTCAAATTTGAATATTGTGGATTTTATCGTGGTTGTTTATACTGTGTGGTGTGTGTTGTTCAGTGTCTGGATTTTTAG